GACGTCGCGCAACAAGACCAACCGAGACCACGGGCACCCCGGCGATCAAACCACCGACGAGGGTCGCACGCGCGCGGCATGGAATGAGCACGCCGCTGCCGTCTTCCAAGCTGCGGCCGTGTCCGCGGGCGTCGCCTCGGTCATCACGGCTCCCACCCCGCCGCGCCCTCCGTCGCCCGCCCCGGTGAGCCCCGCCGCGCCCGCGCCGCCCGCCGCCTCGTCCTCGAAGTTCGAGCCCTCGTGGCTGCGCCTCCGTTGCGCCACGCTGGCGGCCGTCGCCGCCGGCGCGGGCCTCTCGGCCTCGGAGATGGCCTTTTCCGTGCTCTCGCTGCTGTCCGACGCGCGCCGCTCCGACGACGAGCTGCAGGGCGACCTGTTCGACGCGTTCATGGGCGACTTCGACGCCGTGTCCGACGTCCTCATGCGCCGCGCGGAGCTGGTCACCAATGCCGACGCCGTGTTCGCAGACTGCGCGCAGGCCGCGCAGGTGCCCGTCGCCGTACCTGCGGAGGTGGCCAAGGCCGCGCGCGGCGTGTCTGGCAGAAGGAGGGAGAAAGTGTCCCGGACGCCCGTCACGGCGCAGGTTACCGTGCGCGATCGGAGGCGGGAAGCCATGGAGAAGGAGGACCGCCGTGTTCAGCGCCGCTTGGTCAAGTCGGGGCTGCTCGCCGCTGGCGAGGTGGATGAGGATGAGGAGGACGCTGTTGTGCCGTTCCCGGATCTCGGAGGTTCTGCCTATGAGGAGCGGCAGCGGTTCTTTCCGGGCGTGGGCGTGGATTCAGACTCTGCCATTGGGTCTGTAGACCGCGTTGGACTGCCGCGCGGCTCGACCAGGGAAGTTGGGAAGGGCTATGAAGAGATCTTCATTCCGCCCCCGAAGATGGATGCGAGAATGAAATCATCACTCGTGGATGTTTCAGACGCACTTTCGGAGCATCCGGAGCTGCTAACTGCGATGAAGGGAGTGACTACGTTGAATCGCTTGCAGAGCTCAGTGTATCCGGCCGCTTTCAAGAGCAACGAGAACCTGCTTGTCTGTGCGCCCACGGGAGCTGGTAAGACGAATGTAGCGTTACTGACCATATTCAAAGAGATTGTCGAGGTGAAACGGCGTGAGAAGAGAGCGTTTAAGGTTGTGTATGTAGCACCTATGAAGGCACTGGCGGCAGAGGTTACCGAAAAGTTTGGAAAGCGACTGGGGCCGTTGGGCTTACGCGTGAGAGAGTTTACTGGCGATATGTCATTGAGTAGGGCGGAGGCCATGGAAACGCACGTGCTTGTGACAACGCCGGAAAAATGGGATGTTGTCACAAGAAAGACTGGGTCTGACCTCAGCGATTCCGTAACTTTATTTATTGTCGACGAGATCCATTTACTTCATGATGAGAGGGGTGCGGTGTTAGAATCAATCGTAGCCAGAACATTGCGACTTTCAGAAGCAGCCCAGCGTCAAATTCGGCTTGTCGGGCTTAGCGCGACGCTGCCGAACTATGCAGATGTCGGCTCGTTCATGCGAGTGAATCCGCAAAAAGGCCTGTTTTATTTTGATGGGAGCTATCGTCCAGTGCCGCTGTCACAGACGTTCATTGGTATCAGTGAAGGCGGTCAGAGTAATTCCGGTGAAGCGCGCCGACGCCGCGAAGGAAAGATGCATGAGATGGCTTGGAAGAAGGTGAAAGATTCTTTGCAAAGAGGACACCAAGCGATGATATTTGTTCACTCAAGGAAGGGGACTGCATTGGCCGCTCGGGAAATGTTAGGAAGAGCGGCCGAAGATTCGCTTGAAGATATATTTCTGGGGGGTGAGAGCAAGGGACAAGGAAATTTGCCGCCTTCTAAACCCAATAAAGACGGAGGACGCAAGGATAGCGTTTCTGTTCTGCCGACTTGGGCGGCAAAGGAAATATCCAAATCAAAGACGGGTGACATTCGAGACCTGTGCTCAAGAGGCGTAGGGATACACAATGCTGGTCTCCCCAGACCAGACCGTAAGCTTGTCGAAAAGCTCTTTGCCGAAGGCGTCATCAAACTTCTCTGTTGTACCGCCACGTTGGCGTGGGGTGTGAATTTACCAGCAAGAACTGTGGTGATCATGGGAACGGAGGTTTATGACGCCGAGAAAGGAGGGTTTGTGCAGCTGGGGATGTTGGACGTCATGCAAATATTTGGTCGAGCGGGGCGCCCTCAATTTGACACTGAGGGAGAGGGTACGATTATTACCATGCATGAACACCTCGGTAAATACCTCAGCCTTCTTACATCGTCAATTCCGATCGAAAGCAAACTAGGAGCCTCTGCTTCGCGTCTTGCTAATCATCTAAACGCTGAAATTGTGTCCGGTACTGTTTCATCCATAGGAGAGGGGGTTCGGTGGCTAAGCTACACTTACCTTAGTGTGCGGATGCCTCAAAACCCTCTGGTATACGGTATTGACTGGGCAGAGGTAGAGGCAGACAGAGGTTTGCACTCACGACGAGCAACCCTAATTGAACAAGCCTCAAAAGCTTTGGACGACGCCCGTATGTGTCGATATGATCCTCGCACAGGAGCTCTGACTGCGACCGATCTTGGGCGGGTTTCGTCGCACTTCTATGTTTCTCACGAAACAATTGTGCTTTGGAATGACCTTTTTACTCAACTGCCCATGGAGCCTGCCGTCACAGACGCAGATTGGGAAGAAGTATACAAAACAGTTTTGCATGCTGTCTCGTGCGCGACTGAGTTTGAGCAAATGCGATCAAGGCAGGAAGAAGCTGAGGAATTGGACAATTTAACTAGGGAGGCTTGTCCGATCCCGTTGAAGTCAGGCTCCGAGACAAGAGAGGGCAAGGTAGCAATACTGCTACAGGCTTACATATCTCGAGCGTACATTCGAATGTCTGATTTGAGTTACGTTGTGCAGAGCTGCACACGCCTCCTCCGAGCCCTGTTCGAGGTCTCCCTCAGCAGAGGCTACCCCAGCCTTTCGCTGGCTTCCCTTGAGCTGGCACGTGCATCTGAGTCACGCATATGGCCATTTCAACATCCACTATGGCAATTCACATATTCGGCCAGAAGAGGTGGTGGCCTCACAATACAGCAGGAAACTGTCGCTACCATCGAGGCAAGTGGGGAAAAAGGAACACTGGCGTGTTTGAGGGAGATGACAAGAGAGGAGTTATCAATCCTTGTTCGCGCACCAAAAATGGCGTTGACCGTGATCAAAGTTGCTCGAGCAGTGCCCACTCTTGCAATATTGAGTGCAACTGTAGCCCCACTAAGTCGCACTGTTTTACAATTTGAAGTGCGCCTTCGTCCAAACTTTCGTTGGTACGACAATATCCATGGAAATGCTGAGGCTTGGTGGTTGTGGGTGGAAGACTTTGAGGAAGACAGAGTTTACTATAGTCAAAGAATACTACTAACAAAAGTGCAAGTGCGTGCGATGAATGGGGATCAGGTAGATCCATCAGATGATGTGAAAAGTCATTCCCTGAACTTGACCTTTTCTGTTCCTGTGTTTGATCCGCCATCATCTCGATATTCCCTCCGTGTTGAATCAGAGAGGTGGCATACTGGAGGTGGATCCACTGCTGCACTTCCTGTATCTAACATGGATCTGCCGGTTGAAGAAAACAAAAAGACCGATCTTCTTGACTTGAGGCCTCTGTCCGTAAAAACCTCTTTGGATGCGGAAGAGGCCACGATGTTTCAAGGGGATTTTTCGCATTTTAAACCGCTTCAAACTCAAGCTTTTCATACTGCTAGGCACACAGATGACAACATGCTAGTTTCCGCGCCGTCTGGATCTGCAAAGAAGATCTTGGCTGAGTTGGCTATTCTGCGTGCAATCCGTGAGCGTCCGAATTCCACCGTGGTGTACATCGCACCAGATCGGGATTCAGTTCTATTGCAACGCAAGAAATGGCAAAGGTTGGAGAGTCTAGTGAAAGGACGCGTTCAAGTGATGGATTCACTTCGTTCTGTTCCCAGTCAGAATGCTCTCGTAGATGTGGGACTAGTTCTAGCCACGCCGGTTGCTTGGAGTCATTTCTCTGACTCCTGGGATAATTCGATGATGGCAGAATCAGTGTCTCTCTTTGTGTTTGACGATTTGCAGCTCATGTCCGATGTTAACTGTATCGGTGTTGAGATGTTGATATCAAGGATACGATATGGTGCTATGAATACTTCAGGGTCGACGGGAAGAATCCCGAGACTTGTTTCCTTGTGTGAGGAAGTGCCGAATGCTTCCGAAGTTGCAGACTGGCTAGGAGTTGACCGACAGAAAGGATTCTTTTGTTTCAGTGCAAATGTTCGTCAAGTCCCGAGGGAGTCTCAAGTGATTGGCATTGCAGGGGATCGTTACACATCAAGAATGCATTCAGTTAACCGCAGTCTTTTCTCTATGATGCAACGGCATTCTGCCAAGAAGCCAGTGCTAATATACGTTTCGTCCAGAAGGCAGACTCTACTTACAGCAGAGAATCTACTTCTCCTTGCTTCAATGGATGGAAAGGAGAAACCGTTTGTTGGACTTCAATCTGACACTGAACAATCGATTTCAAAAGCACTCCGACAAACCTCAGATCATCGTTTGAGGAGTTGTCTGACAAATGGTATAGGTCTTTACCATGAGATGATGACATCTCGCGAGCAGGACGCGGTCGAAATTCTTTTCAGGAAGGGTCACATCCAGGTAATGATTGCGACTTTTGCTGTGGCCAGGAAGTTATCAGTCCCATGCCATCTCGTCGTCGTGAAAGGGACAGAAACATACCGGCCACAGCAGCGACGATTTGAAGAAATTCCTTTAGCTGATATTCTTCAAATGATAGGGCAAGTCGGAAGGCCAGCTGTAGATTCCGTCTGCTACGCGATTGTGTATGTGCATGAACCGAAGAAGACTCTGTACAAGAAGTTTTTGCACGAGAAACTCCCGATTGAATCTGCTATTCATCGAAACCTTTCAGATACGTTGATGAAAGAAATATCGTCAAGGCGTGTGAAATCCCTAAGGGATGCTGTCGAGTTTCTTTCGCGAACGTTCATGTTCTGGAGATTGAAAACGAATCCTGGGTATTACGGGCTAAAGAAAAAGAAGGGAGTGAAAGCGAGCGTACCAAAGCTTGAGCGTCTCAATCAAGGAGCGTTGTATTGGATCAGCGAAATGGCCACTTCTGCGCTTCGTTCTTTGGTCGAAAAAAAGAGCATATCAATATCTGACGGATTCATTAGCAGCGACATGAACGTAGAAACATGAGGCGTTTAGTTAATAGGTGACAAATGACCTCATATGAGGCCAATGTATTGATAATAGAGATCCGGACTTCTAACTTCTACAGTACCTAGCGCAGCTTAACTCTATCGTAGAGCTGAGTGCCGCGGTACATGAGAGAGTGTTTTTTTTTTACACAAGAACTGCGTCACTTTAGTCAACTCCCTTAAGAGTCACTCAACAGCATAAAAAAGCGTCCAAAATTGAGTCATTTATGAGTCTCCGTGAAAACTTGCATATCTCTCATGAAGGGCACTTCAGAAACTCATTTGTAGGCTCTTCTAAGCGCGCGCACAGAGCTTATGAAACCTCGTAAATGCTTTTAAACAGGGGTCTTGGTGGTGTCTATACGACCTTCTTCAAGATCCTCTCGCGCTTTTCCCATTCGGGTGTTCCAAGATTATTGTAAGCGAAAAACTAAGGTATTCCATGGTGGCCAATGGTAGAGGGTGTCTACAGTATAAGGAGAGCGGGAGAGAGACAGGTCGTTTTACTTAAGTCGTTTAGCTTGGCAAAAAGTTTGGAACATATGAATTACAACAAGCGAGTTCATTTCTAGGGGTTTTCTCAGCTGATGCAATATAATTTGCTTTGTTCCACTCCAAGCGGTCCAAAGGGGAGATGTCGTATGTGAATTGCGCATACTTGCGGATGACGTCAGATTGTTCAATGTTCGCGTTTTAGGGGAATTATGCGGGCAGCAATTCCTACTTGATATTTGTGCCTGATCTGAAGTTGTGTTCCTGAAGCAACAGTTTTGCAGGAAGAGGTCGTTCGACACCCTTTAAAAGTAGTTAAATTGCATCTGGATTTGGAGCGGTCCTAAATGCCGTCTCAATTTCAAGACGCTAAATTTAGAAGGCTTGCTGTAGCCAGAGTACCGAACATACTTTTGGTGTAGCATCATCCTTGCCTGGGTTTATTTTATGGGAATGACCCGGCATCCTCATCTCCCTCTTGTGCTCCAACAACGTGGAGCATCATAGAATCTAGACCAAAGAAAAGCAGTTTGTTCTCCTGCTGAAAATTATGAAAATACTGAGGAAAATACTAAAACATTAATAGAAAAAAAGCACCGACGGACGGTACTTCCTTTATCACCCCTGTCTTCCGGTGCACGGAACTTTGACCTTTAGGATGGTTGATATTCTTCTCTGTGTGCTGCTCCTTTTTATACTTTAGTACTGTACCCCAAAGCACCTGGTGTGACTCCAAAAACTCCTCGTGAGGGTGACTACGTCGTACCGCAAAAAGGGGCTCGACGAAGTCCGTAAAAAGTATACAAATAAAGCTCAAATATAGAAGTGTATGGCCCCAAGACTATTCCCTTAATTGTTGCCTACAAAAGCAGTATCAATGCTCCCGTAGCATGACCGTGCCACACTTGTATGGTCTTCTTCAGTATGTTTTGAAACATGTTGAAATCAATAAAAACAAAAAATCAATCTTCGGACATTGAGGCGACTCTTCAGCATTGCGAGACCACGACTATGCATGGGTTGCCAAGGCAACCTTGGTAAAGGCCTGATCTCAGGCCTTTCTGGGACTACACGGCTGTTATTCTCAAGAGCAACAGCCGTGTAGTCCCAGGCGTGTTCTACCGCTACATTATCTGAACGTGATGATGTGGACGTGTTTCCCCCGTTATTGTCGCCATTGCCGCGTTCACGACCGGTCTGATATCACACGCAAACTAGAATGGTCGCAATGCTATCGACACGTTTTGCCTTTTGTTGATTAAGGCACGAAAGCCTTTCATGCCTTTTAGGCATGGTGTTTCTCATACGGGGCGGGAGCATGATCTGGCTCTGTGGAGCGGTGCCGTGTGCCCTCGTTACAGTAGTTCCGTGTGATGTGGGCACACGGTGTCCCGAGATTTCACATGGAATACGAGATACAAATAAGATGCGCGCCCTTCCGGCCATTCTTATTGGAGAAACAAACAATGCCATCGCTGTTGTTGCCCTCAACGGTGAAAGCCCTACGTGGATACGCCGATTGCAAAATGACTGGATAAACTTAGTGTATCTTGGAATAAGGCAAAGGGGTTGAAGCAATCTTCACCGAATTCCTGAATCAATCATTTTTTCCGCTTCAATAGTGCCGAAGTATGAAAACGCACTTTTTCTATTTTTTATCCTCGATGACTTAACAAACGCAACCAGTCATATGCCCAGCACGCGTCAAGCGCCACTGCAGTGCACTGGGAGGACGAAAGGCCTCCCTTCTACTACGCAGCCTTCTTATGTACTTCGAAGGGTAAGTGTCATACTTGTTTGCTTCCCCGACGCACACCAAAATCGCTCCACTGCTACTCCACTGCCTTCCCACTGCTTGCGGAGGTGCTATTCCCGCTCCCGCCCCATTCCGACCGTCAAGGCAGCTGTGCTCTGAACGCGCAGCGCATGACTCAAACCCCATCTTCACCTCATTTCACCCTTCACCCTCCCAACCCACCATGAGCGAGCCCGCCGTCAGCACCACCGCCGAAGCAGGTTCGTCCTATACCCCCCACGCGGTAGAAGAAGCTCCTGCCCCGGACGAGGCCGTCGATGCTGTGCGAGACCTGGCCAGCCCGGAGCCTGTCGAATTTGAGAACGGCAGCAGCCCGGGGCTGCGCCGCGTCACTTCCCGCCCCTCAAGCCTCAGGGAGGCCGACTGCCATCTTTGCACGGACACTGACGCCGCTTCCTGCGAAAGTGGCGGCGGCGCGGCGGGCCGCAAGTATCGTCGCGTGTATTCCCGCGATGAGTTCGAGGAAGTCGCGCACGGCCCGGCCGGCCGTCTCGTCAAGCGCATGGGCCCCTTTGCGTACGTCTTTTTCTTCGTCATCCCGCTCGCCTATGTTGCCATTTTCTTCGCCATCGTGCCCTTGGGCGACCCGCGCCTCTCGGATATCTCGGACCAGTGGGTCTTCATTTTTATCAGCAATGGCGCCGTCGTCCTCGCCATTTCGTACCTGTACAACGCCGCCTTTCTGAGCATGGCTAGGTGTGAGACCCCGTTCCGCACGTCCCTTATTCCCCTCGCCGCTGTCTTCGTTGCCGAGATTGTCGTTTTGACTCCGATTCTCCTAACGTACGGCGTTTTCAATTGGCTTGGCATTGCTGCGCTTAGCGTTTGCTATGTTACTCTTTACGGTTCTATGCTTTTGGCGTACCACGATATACGCCCCATGGTTCACTCTTTCTTCAAACGGTTCATGCTTCTGCTCATCCTTTATATTCCCCTGCTCGTCGGATACGTCATCGCGTATCGTGAGATCACTTCATCGGCTGGGCAATCAGCCCTTAGTTTTTGCTTAGCATTCATCACCTTCATTTATCGTCGCGTGATGCTGTCCCAACTGGACCCGTTTCCGCTCGAGTTCAGTCAGCTCATGGCAGGGTTTTGGGTCCAGAACCTGAGTGATTGCACAGCTGTTCTTGCTTTCCCACAAGTTCGCAGCCCTTCCGTCTATGCAGCTCTCTTTTTATCAACTTCGCTTCAGAACGTGGCATTCCTTGGATTTGTCTCGGATATGTGGATATACACACTCCGCCCTACCATTAAGAATACAGTTTTGAACGGAATCAAATGCAATTTTCCGCTTCCTCCTGTTCCCAAACCAGACGAAACCTTCGATCGCGTCAACCGAGGGCATGATGCGAACGTTGGTGGTTATCGTCGAAGACAGTTCCGCTTCTTTTTCTTCAGGTTATTGTCACAAGCAGTCGCAATGGTGATGTATCTGGGCATTTCCCCAATGCTCCGCTATGGACTAAACAAGGAGTACACACCGCTATCGTTGATTCCACATGAAGAATATCGCAACTCGATGATATTCTCCGCGGGAAATTTGGTGTTCATCGCGTTAGTGGGAATATTTGGTTACGTTTTCTTGCATCGAAGCCACCATGCGACATTCCATGAGATTCGAGAAATCCATATGCACGACATATTGCATCACACGATGGTCGGCATGGTAACAGCAATTATTACTCACAACATGATCGTTACGATTGCAATTATTCTCTCACAGTATTGTATCTTCTCATCGTTCGACGGTGCGACAGAGATGGAGCGTTGTGTAATGACAACAATTAACAACTAATTTCAGACGCCAGACGTAGCGCGCGTGGCAAGAGGAAAGGCGAGTCTGGGCGACTGCCTTGTGCCGACATGGCGAGGCGTGGCACGGTATCGCTATCTCTTAGACAAGAACTCATTTTGCGGTTGTACAATCAACAGTCATTTGATGCTCGGCAACCTCACAAAGCTCTCTGGATCAACGGTAATTGTGTTCTTCCGAGGAAACAGAAGTCAGGTGGTCTTCTTTCAAAGCTTGAAAGACGAACGTGGCGGTACGGAAAAGCTAAACGTAGACTACGAATTTCGAAAGTGTCTGCACAAATATTAAATTGGAATATCGATACTTTGCGACAATCATTCATGAGCGCATACCACGTGATGCATTGGTAGACGTTGACTTTGGAGGGCGAGAGCTTAGAACCGGATTCAGTGAGTGCGTATCTAGATGTGGAAGAGGTTGCGTTCTCTGGCAACCTTCTCAAACGGCATGGTGCTAGCGCCCAACGAGAGACTGAACTGCAAGTTGCACATCAGCTCCTACGAAGATATAAACTTTTGCTATACCGCCAGTGCACACCCGTTCTTCGCATCTTGGGTTATTTACCAATAATTCTGCAGTTCAGGTGAAAGTGAGCAATGAGCGTGAGCGTTGCTTAGCCGGGGTAACGGGCATTGACCTGTTACAGTGCTTCGCGAACTACGTCTAAAACGGAGGGCCGATACAGTGATAAAATGGAAGAATTGTCGGAATGTTAGGCCTAAGCTTCTTTAAGCTTTGCCCCACCTTTTGGATAGATTCCATTTACATGTCACAAGACTGACGGGATATTTTTGGCTGCGCAACTGTGCCGCATTGCCAGTCTTTCAAAATCAAACTCGGAAATTCTCTTAAAACGTGGGAATTTCCCATTCTCATGCTCCTCACATGTGGAGCAATACGCGAGGGTGGAATTGGAGCATTGGCGAGAGAAGGAACGAATAAGGGAAGAAGCCAGATGTGGATACTGTACAATTTACCTCGTCTGTGTAAATGTCGATACTGTAGTGAATGGAGGCACAGTATGGTGGAAGGCGTCTTCTGGCCGGTCTGTGTAAATCACACTCGGAGCTTTGTTGTGGAATCACGATGCCGTGGCAAAGCCAGAAGAAATGGGTTCAAGCCTTGAACCCATTTCTTGCGACATACCCTTGAACTTCAAGGGTATATCGCAAGACGGCTGCTCGAGTGCGGTAGTGTGGAGCAGCCAGTTTGCAGTCCAAATTTTGGGACGCGCGGCACCAACGGGGCTAGAGCAATTGTAGATACTGCAGTCAATACAAAATGCGGTCAATCACAGCCGCAATATACGCCGGGATGACCGGCGTTGATCGAGCTGTTGCGAGATGGGCCGTGAGAACTGTATGATCTTCCACTACGGTGCGGTCGATTGGAGCTACTAGGAGAAAAATAACGACAAAGGATGAAAGAGATTGGAGGGACACGAGGGATAGGCAGAAAGCGGTGGGATTTGAGGCTCGGGGCATCCCCACGAATCAGCAGCACGGCGAGGTTCGATGTCGAATGGACAGCCGAGCTGTTCACGTTGGCGGGAACGAGGCGCCTTTGAATCGTGAAACTGGCGATTGGCTCGTTTAAAGGTAACGGAAGGAGCCCACGAGTACGAGCCGTTTGAAAATTTTGAGCGCACTTCCTCGTCATCCAATCAAGAACCGCTATTTGCAGATGATCTGTTCACTGCCAATCGATTACAGCCAAGTGCTGCCGGTTCGTTAGATGTATCTCGAAACGGTCATCACCATGCATCGTCCTCAACATTCTTTTTCGGCTTCCTCCACATCGTCAACACTGCTCCTGATCATCCCACGCTTATCATCCCCTCGAAACTACTCTACATTAACGCAAAGACACGCCCTCCCCCATCTATTTACAACTCGTTTCCTTCATAACGACCAACCTGTATCACTTCTCTGCACACTCCCCGGTCACTCTTCACCCTCCACACCACAAGCGACAATCAATGCCAACGCGATCATCACCACTTTCCTATCTTTCGAGCTACCCAGCATTCGTTTAAGCAGAAAAAGAAAGAAGAGGCCTTCGTCCCCGCGTCGTCGAGTCGCATCCACTCCCCCGCCACGCGTCAAACCTCCTCCACCTATCTTCAATCCTGGTCACACCTTTCCCTTCTCACGCGCCCAGTCTACTCCACGTCGCTCCTATCGCTCGGTTCAGGAGCTCTTCGAAGAGATCGACTGCGCCGACCCTTCCCAATCCACAACGTCCCGCTTTGCAAAGTCCCAGGCGGTCACGCCTCCGGCAAAGAAACCAGACCCCACCAAGTGCAACCCTCGCGATAGAGCGGTTGTTCGCAAGCTCTTTCAAGAGTTGCAGGACTTTCCGAATCGGTCACACACTACCCGACGACCAGTTTCAACGCACCCCGCGTCTTTCGTCCCGGATAAATCAAGGAGATCGACCTGGACAGGAAACAAAGGTGACAACATGCCGAAAGGAAACGATTTTCATCATCCTGTCTCCAACAGCAGCGAGACCGAGTTGGCTAGCGAAGTAGTTACAGAGATTGATCAACCCTCAGAAGTTGAGCCGTACGAAGAAGTATACCGTTACGAACCCGGCAGCGCCAGCGGACCTACAGAAGCTCATATTTACAAGGTTGAAGATGATGGAGACGATCGAACCACGACACATCATCTGTGCGACCACGGAGATGAGAGCGAGCAACAGACCGAGTTTCAAACAGTTGATGATGGTCATTACGAGGCTGCACGAATCATCATCAAGGAGCACTGTCACCAGGAAGAACAAACTGACGTCCAAGGCACATATCGCGAGTACCAGGAACAGGTTTACGATGGACACCAAGAACAAGTCTATGAAGAACATACTGAGACCAACCGAAACAGCGCCAATACAGCAAACAGCTTTGATGAAGTCGCAAAGGAAATGGCGCAAGACTTGCAAGTCTTGGATAGGGCTGATGATAGCGACCTGCGAAATCTTGCCGAGCTCATCCCTGAGCGCAATCAGGATCGCATCTTCTCAGAAGATGAGCCGTCCCGAGTAGACGACGACGGGCATGAAAGAGTGCATGAGGTCGGAAGAACTTCGCAAGGACAACCAGTCATCGAGGGAACAGATTTCATCACTCAAGTTGGCGACGAAGACGACGACAATGATGGAGCTGAAAGCGAAGACTCCGAGCTACTACCTGAGCTACCAAAAGCTCCCCCATCGTTCGTGTTCAGAACCGAGCGACTTTCAAAGAATGTTGCCGACGCAATGGCAAACGTATGGGATCGTTTCTGGTCGGAAGATGTGAAACAAATTTCAGGAATTATCAAGAATCGCTTTTCCCAACTGCTCCCGTATATGAAGCGATTCGTGGCTCACTTGGTAGCATTCTGGGGTGGCATTACATATCTTCGACGTGCCCTCACTGCATTTGTTCGCATCCTAAACAGAGATGAAAGGATCCGCGAGCTATTAGAGAGGGTCGGGTGGGCCTCGGCGACGACTGTCAAAGTTTTCCTCTCCATTTGCGGAATGGTTATGCAGGCAACTCTGCAAATGTATTACCTCATGAGAAACAAGATCATCCCTGACACCAGAAGAGTCATTCCGATCGTCTATTATAAGGCAGTTGTCAAACTTCTCAAGCTTGCCGAACATTCTCCTTGGGCACTAGTTCTTGGGCCTTTCAGCCTAACTTTTGCGATTGATTCTTCCAAGATACCAGATCGGTACTTTTTGCATAACAAACTCTCTGTTCCAGAGGAAGATGTTACCTTCGCTAGTGCAGATGGAGTTCAGACACTGGTTCAATCCGTTCGTGAGAGTATCCACCGTACTCGGTATGGATACGGGTCTCAGCAATCAACTCCAGTGCATACGCAAACGACGGACGAAATGCCGTACCCACCGCCATCTGAGTACACGGTATCGCAGTTCCCAGAAGAAAACAACATTGAGATTGAGCAGCACCACCATCACCATCATGCCTCAAAACATGTCAAAGAAACGGTTTCTCGATACGCACCATTGACTGAACGCACCAACCATGATGCGCACAATCATGTATGACTCTGCATAGACGTGCGCGTATTAGTCATTCTTCGTCTTCTGCTGTGTTGACAGACGTGTCATTGTCAACTCTGCTTTTTTTCATTCTGACCGCTCGCGTTGTGGGAGCTTGACAAAGCATCTAACAAAGTGTGAGCTCGCTTTTGCGCAATCACAATCGAGTTGGCGACTCCGCCATGATACGGCGTACGTCAAGACACCCTCAACTTACAGGTCAGCTAGATAGGAACGTATGCACTCACAGATGCATCACATTACTCACTTCGGAGCTAGGTAAAACAATATTTGCATGAGGCTCTCTCGCTATGTTGAGCATAGGAGCTTTTGAGACATCGGTATCCCAATGGCAACCATGTCATCTGAAAGTGCGCACATGCCCCTGTGGTAACGCCCACTTGAAAAAACTTCTCGCCGCCGGTATTTCTCGCAGTTCTTCTCTAGTCCTCTCCTTCACCGGCGTTTTTGTTTCGCAAGATAGTCACTCTTTTCATCGAGAAGTTCGACATAATCTTCGAGCGACCACCTTGGGTCCATAGCCGTAACCAGTTCCCTTGCCTGCCCCTCGTTCTTAACACCACAAATTGGCACAAAGCCCTTGGCCATGACGTACTTGACAGCGACCTGGGCTACAGAGCGAGGTCCCCTGCCTCCTTGGACGGCACCGACAAACTTCATCAAGTTGGTGAGCTGCTTATAAAAGGCGAGCTGCTGGGCGGTAAAGCGTCTCCCCGGGGACACGAGTCTCTCCGGGTCGGTAAACTTGCCGGTGAGAAGGCCCTTTGCAAGCGGCTCGTACGCAAAACAGACGAGGTCCAGCTCTTTGGCGGTCTCCAACAGGCCATTGGCCTCGGCGCGGCGGTCGATGAGGCTGTACTTGATCTGGTTGGACACGACCGGGACGTCGCGCTCCGCAAACATGTTACAGACTTGCTTCAGCTGTTGCGGGGTGTCGAAGTTGGACAAGCCCACGGCAGACACCAAGCCGAGGTTGTACGCGTCGGCAAAGCCATCGACGATAGCGCGCTGGGCGCCCGGGTAGGCGGAGAAGGGAAAGTGGATGACGTAAAGCGGGATGGAAGCGAGGCCCATCCTGGTGAGCGAGGCCCTGAGGGCGGCGAGGACGGCAGTGCGTCCGAGGCGCAGGCCGCCGCGGCCGCCGGAGACGAGCAGGTCAGTCCAGGGGATGGGGAAGTACTTTGTGCTGAGGAGGGCGGCGTCGGCGCCGGGAACGGCGGTGCGGAATTGGCCGAGGAGGTGCTCGGCGCTCTCGGAGGTGGGGCGCGAGCGGTAGCCGTAGACCTCGGCCGTGTCGAAGAAGGTGACGCCGTTGCGCAGCAGGAAGGAAAAGGCGGCCGAGAGGTCGGCGTCGTTGAAGTCGGTGCCGTAGCCGCGCGTGCGGTCGCCCCACGCCAGCGTGCCGGCCGCGAGGCGCGACGTCGACAGCGAGAGAGAGGCCGACCCGAGCTGGATCTGGTCGGGTTGCGCGGCCGTGCTGCAGCGTGGCGAGACGCGCCGGCGGCAGGGCGGAACCGCGGGCGGGAGCCTCGGGGGTAGGAAGGCGGGCATCGCGCGGGGATGGAGATGGGGGAGATGGGGTGGGGGAGATGCGGGGGTGGGGGAGATGCGGGTGTGGGGGATGGCGGAGGTGGGGGGGGCGGGAGAGATGGGGGGGTGGGGAGATGGGGGGGATGGGAGATGAGAGGTTGATGGGAGAGGGGCGAGCGGGTGTATGTGGGATTGTGGATGAGTTGGGTGCGGTGACCTCAAAGGGGGGCAGTTGTGTTGGGGAGGTTCGGTTGGGCGGTTGTGACTGGTTGGTGCAAATTTGCAGCGGTCGGCAGCGGTCGGCAGCGGTCAGGCGTGGTTTAGACCGCCTCGCCCTTGTGTCGATCGGACCGCGGAATCTCTCTGCTTGTAAATAAACGCTTTTATCATACGCGATACGTCATATGAGGACAAAAGTTATTTCATTTTTTCTGGACAAGCTTGTCGTTTTTGGAATCCGCAACGCCAACGCCAACACACAAGTGAAGCACTTGCTTGCCGATTCTAGCGAAATCCAACTCGTTGACGCACATAAAGGTGTTGAGAAGAAAAAAAAAGTTGCCTCACACTACCCATTTTCCATACTTTCGGGCTTTATGCGGTCTTGAGGTCTAACTGTGCAAAAAAAAATTGTTTTTTATATATTTATATATTTATATATTTTTTTCTTTGGTAGGGTGCACACACCCTACCAAAGAAAAACCAAAGAAAAATAGAAACCATGGCAAACAAAGTTGAAAAGAAATCAAAATCGCAGAGTATTATGCTATGATAACGCCTGGTCGGATAATGCGCATTTAGCTTACAAGCCTTTACAGACACAGCAGGATGCTGTCTCGATTCTTTGTGGAAAAGCAGCAGCCCAACTGCACACACACAGGGTTTTACCCGACGGTGCTCAAGCTGCACTTGTTGCGGGACATGCACGGTTGTGGAAAGCAGGAGCCCAACTGTACACACATCTCTACACACAACTCTACAATCGGGCGTGCCGTCATTGATGATTTGCCAGCAGTGTACACACACACACAACTCTACAGTACAAGCACCAGAACAATGCTTCCAGCCTCGCCCTCACCACGGCGCATCCCAACAACCACAACCAATTGAGTACGTACACGTTTCGCATACAAGGTCTAATCTCGACCTCCTCGCCGTCAACTCCACCTCCTCAAAAACACGTATGCCACGTGTTCTTATCCCCCAGAGCTGTCGACCGTCCCTCCTCGTACCACCTTCCCCTCCTTCTCCCCCCCCCCCCCCCGCCGTCTGCCTCAACCCCCGAGACGCCACTGCCGTCCGACCACCCACTGCCCCCCTCCGCCGCATCCACCATGGTGAAAACCCGCATGGGTCTACTGGACCTGCGCGTCCAGTCGTCCACGCTGGACGCCACGCTGCGCGGCGCCCGCGTCGCCAACGTGTACGACGCGCACAACGGCCGCACCTACATCCTCAAGCTCGCCGTCCCGCCGCCGCGCACGCACCCGCCTTCGGCCCAGCCCGCGTGGCAGAAGCGCCTGCTGCTGGTCGAATCCGGCGTGCGCCTGCACGTCACCCACTTCGACCGCGACAAGGACCTGCCCACGGGCTTCTGCCTCAAGCTGCGCAAGCACGTGCGCACGCGCCGCCTGGACGCCGTGCGCCAGCTCGCCGGCGATCGCATCGTCGACATCGTCTTCTCGGCCGCCGGCGAGGTCGCGGCCCACATCATCGTCGAGTGCTTCTCCGGCGGCAACGTCATCCTCACCGACGGCGGCCTCTCCATCCTCACCGTCCTGCGCACCTTCCGCCCCACCACCCCGGGCGCCGCCCCCGTCGCACCCAAGGAGCGCTACCCCATCGAAAACGCCCGCGAGGTCCTCGCCCCCGACTTCGATGCCTTTGTTCGCTCCGTGCGCGATGCCGCCCAGCTCGTCCCCGACGAGGCCGCCCTGCTCGCGGCCCCGACGCGTGCGGCACGGAAAAAGCTCGCCGCCCGCGCAGACCCGAAGAAGGCCCTCGCTTCAGTCCTCTGTCTGGAACCAGCGCTTGTGGAGCATGCCCTGTTGCGCGCCGGAGCGGGCGCTTCGTTGCCGCACCTTGCAGCGGATCAACGAGTCCTGCGAGACATGTTTGACGCCTTGAGAGAGGTCGAGGACAGCCTCACCAACCAGATTGAGTCGGGAAATCCTGTCAAGGGCTTCATCGTCTCGACGAACGCGCCGCAGCCTGGCCCGGGTAGTCCAGATGCCACGACCCAGAGATACCAAGAGTTCTCGCCCTACTTGTTCGAACAGTATAAAGAGCGCCCGTGGAGGGAGTTTGCCACCTTCGATGAGGCGGCTGACGAGTTCTTTTCGCGCCTTGAGTCAGAGAGGATGGCTGCGGCGCAGACGAAGAGGGAGGCTGCTGCATACAAGCGCGTAGACAAGTTGGCCAACGAATTGAAGGGCCAAGTATCGATACTAGAAAGTGCTCGCGATTTGTCGTGGGAACGCGCGCAGGCCATCGAAGGCAATATTGCCGACGTTGAAAATGCGATCACGGTTATTCGGAGCGCTGTCGCTGCAGCAGTGCCGTGGGATGGGCTTGCGAGAATGGTCAGTGAAGAGAAGAGGAATGGAAACCCGGTTGCGGAGATCATCCATTCGTTGCAACTTGACAGGAATGAGATCACTTTGATGTTGGAAGACACATTTGGTGTAGACGATGCCCAGGAAGACGAGGAAGACGACAATTCTGATGATGAAGATGATGGCGATGAAGAAAACGAATACGATGACGACGACGGTGATGATGGCTGTGGCCAGAACGACCGCTATCTTAGATCTAGGCGGTCTAGATTCGAACCATCATCACAAACGCGAAAAGCCCTTCTTGTGTCCGTGGATATTAGCTTGGGAGCACATGCTAATGCGAGACGTCACTATGAGATGCGCAAGAATGCAGCTGCAAAGATGGAAAAAGCAGTAGAAGCTACAGATCGCACATTGAAGGCCGCATCGAAGCGGGCAGCATCTGAAGCTTCCAAGATTGAAGCTGAAGCCGCAGCAGCCTCTATCAGAGCGAGAAGAAAGCCCTTGTGGTTTGAGAAGTTCTACTGGTTCATTAGCTCTGAGAATTATCTGATTGTTGCCGGGAAGGATGCACAGCAAAACGAACTGCTTGTAAATAGGTATCTCGGTCCAGCAGACGCATATGTGTATGCGGATCTGAACGGGGCGTCTTCCGTCATCGCCAAGAATCAGAAGCGACCGGGCGCATCAGGCTACGGAGAGATTCCGCGCATGACGTTAGAACAAGCAGGCACATTTGCTATGTGCAGATCATCAGCGTGGGAGGCCAAGGTCGTTACTTCTGCATGGTGGGTCAGGGCGAGTCAGGTTTCTAAAACTACCGCTTCGGGGGCTTTTCTACCAACTGGAAGCTTCATGATTCGAGGAAAGAAGAACTACTTGGATCCGACCCAACTCGTTATGGGAGTAGCCTTTATATTCAAGGTAGAGGAATCATGTATTTCGGCTCACAAAGGTGAAAGAGGTGTTCGACGGCTTGACAGTATTGAGGAAGCTGCCAGAAACTCGACAACGCAACACGTATCGACTACCAGCGAGACGGGTGAAGAGCCTGTGCCGAACCCTCACGATATTACTAAGAGCCAGGCAGGGGTACAGCCATCGTTGTCAGAGCCAAAGGAGACCGCCAGTTCAAGTGATGACAACCCGCCCGTTGTGGAAGGGAGCGAGATGGCACCGTCTCCCAATGTTCGTCTATCTGAGCAAGCTCAAACTAGCCTTGCTGCAGAAGGTTCGAGCAGGGGTACAGATAGTCTCCAAGATAACATTGAACAGGAGCCGCTGAAGAAAAACCCGCGCGCGAAAAAGAAGCATATGTCTGCGAAGGCACGGAGAGCAATGAAGAACAAAAAAGGAGGGGCACAGAATACAACAGAGTCTTCTTATCCACCTGAAGACCAAGAAAGTGGCATCGTTGGGGCTGATGATTTGCAAGCGAAAGAAAAGAAGGGGAAGAGCCAGGCGCCACTTCCCAGGGGGAAGAAGCACAAACTGAAGAAAATGAAGAAATACAGCGATCAGGATGAAGAGGAACGAAAGATTGCGCTTGCAATCTTGGGCTCAAAACCGATCAAGGAAGAAACAGCAGCGACAGACGAGGACGAAGGAGAAGATGCAGAGACACTGCAGGAGGCGGAAAATGCATCCACAAGTGTCGACGAGGATAGCGGCAAAAGACGGGAAAGGAGAAGTGAGAGGCGTGAAGTTATGCGGCTCACAGAGGAAGAGGGAATCGTAGAATTGGAAAATTTGGAGCAGGAGTCAATGCGTATCCTTGACATGTTGACATCTGTACCTCTACCAACTGACACCGTGCAATATGCTCTTCCCATGTGTGCACCCTACGGAGCCTTAACAAACTACCGATATCGAGTGAAACTAATGCCAGGAAGCACGAAGCGTGGCAAAGCATATCGATCAGCTATTGCCCTTTTTTTGAAACAGGCCGAGAAAGACCTTTCACAATTCAAGCAGGAGCGAGATTCTATTCGACTATCCCCTGAGAGTGCCGGTATTCATAGCATGCTCGGAGGGGTAAAGATAATGGCACCGGGACTTGCGGAGGCGCAAAAATCGATGCAGAAACCGAAAAAACAATCCTCAAAGAAATGTTACAAGCGGAAATAGAGACTCCCACTGCGACGCATAAGGACGACGGTCAAGGGTCATGCCGCTTGAACCAAGTACAGTCTTTCGCACTGGTCGGATACAGGGTCAACCTAGATCACCATTCATCTCAAAGGTTTCTACTCGACGCAATACCAGCTGTACAGTTACGCATGAACATGAGCCATTCCGGAAATCTGTTTTTTACCTTAAATACTGAAACTGAAGACGTACAAAAAACTATAACTTATCTGAGGCCAACCAGGCCCGTTGCAGAACTAAAATTGCAAAAAAGTCGTAGAGAAAATGAACTAGAAGTGGTTTGAGCAAGGACTGACCTGACGAAAGGAACATACCTCCAAACAGCATGCCTGCAACTGTGGCGATCACCATGTACACCCTTGAATATGAGTGAAGCACGCCAAAAATGACTGACGAGGACACAAGAGCGAAATACGGCGACCACTGCCAGGACTCTAAAATACCCAAAAGCCATGACCGGAAGAATATTTCTTCTCCTAGCGCTACACAAGCGCAGAACACACCTACTTGCCATAGGGCCCTATTTTCAAAAATTGCTCGAAAATTCTCCTCCATATCTACTTGTAGGCCTCTCTGACGCGATATGAAATACATGACGACTTGAAAGGGCATAACCGTGAGGACTGCTTGTCCTAGAAGACTTGGAGAAAAAGTCCACCCTTTACCCAGCATGGGAATGTCAAAAAACGCACAAAGTCCAGCCCCAAAAAGAGCTAGGAGTGCTGATGAAATTGTCCCTGCCCAAAACGTTCTAGTCCCGTCCAAAGCGGAAGCCTCCGAATTTGCCGGGAGGCGCGACCAAGGCGTCGATGCCGGTAAATAATCTGATTCGTCCACAGCATCGGCGCAGACCTTTTCGACATACCGGGAAGAAGCGCTATCACTTCCGACAGATCTGAGTCTTACGGGGGGCGAGGCGTGTGTCTGCAACGATGTGGTTGTGGAGATGAACGGTATCGGCTTTGCCACGGGAGAACTAGTGCTTAGTCCCTTGCCTAACACGCATCTGGAGGTTGAAATGCGAGAAACTTGTTTCCGCGGCAGAGAGATTTCAGATACAGGTCTTCTCTGCTTAACCTCAGCATTACTATATCGCGGTCTCTTCACCAAGCCGTGCCCGCATGTAGAGACCGGTATAAAAGCTGTTTCAGTGTTTGGCATTGGTGTCGATGATTGCCTGTGGAGTCGCAGCGCAACAACTTCAAGCTGGTTCTGTGCTCGTTTCGGTGCAGAAAGATGCGGAGAAAGACGTGTCTGGCTAGAATTGATATTCGATATCTTTGGTGTTAGGCCATTCGCGGTGAACGATACAACTCTACTTAACTAGAAGCGCTTCGTTTTCTCCGGTACAGGAATGTGCTTCAGTTCCGGATTGGACAGAAGCTGAAAACAGACCAGCAAATATTGACCGCATGATCAACAAAAAATCTATTCCCGGAAAATCTTGCATCCGTTGACTTGCGAGTGATTCCTTTCTGAGGAAAAGCATGGCGTTGCTTTCGCCTTTACGCCCCCGTGCCTTTGACTCACTTATCACCTGAAAGTACCAAAACGAAAGAGAGCGGCCGTGATATCATTCATAGCTCGCAGCAGTAGACATCGAGTATACTGTCCTTTGAGTATCGATGGAGCTGCTGGGGCAATATGGATGGACGTGGGCAGAAAATATCAAATGCTGCCTGCCATGCAGACGCAATTTTTGTTAAAACTTCTCAGCAATAACATGTGGATGCATTCGTCTTTACATCCCCTTGTTCGTTTCCATGCCCAAAAGAAGTAAAATGAAAAGGAGTGGCTGTGATATACAGCGCAGTTAGCAGCTGCGCACATCGGCTATAGAGTGGCTGTGCCGATGAAGTCTCTGAGGTGTCATGAGTGGACGTGGGCAGAAAACATCGAATGCTGTCATACATAAGCTATTCATGTTCATGGCAGGTTGCAATTTTCAAGAAGCCAGACCCCTGAGGTCTATTTCTGAGCCCGAGTCGTACAACAGCCTTCTATGCCTTTCTCATAGTAGACCCCTGTAAACAAAAGACAGAATGAGTTATATCACTTCTTTCAACTTGAAAACGGTGCGAATATTCATGGCAGCGAGCTCATTTGTGAGATACTTCATCGAGTAAGGAATAGCAACCCGTAAAACCTGGCTTTCCTTCCCAACGCATTCTCTGCAATAAATATGAGATGAGTCGGCAGCTTCTTCGCTCACTTTCATGGTCGGAGACACCAGCGATCCGCAAGTCTCACAGACGTGAAGCAAATGCATGTCCGAAGCCATGGCCAGTCGGTCCCTCAACAAAAATGAAGCACCATGCGCAATTAATCCGTCCCGCTCCATTTCGCCGAATCGAATCGCACCCCCACGGCTGCGCCCCTTGATCGGTTGTCGGAACAACGGGTCGATCGCACCAGTAGTACGTACCTGAAACTTGTCTGAAACCATATGTCGCAGGCGCTGATAGTGCACGACACCGGTAAATATGTTCACTTTGAAAGGTTCCCCTGTGTAGCCAGAATACAACACCTCGCTCCCACATGCGTCGAAACCAGCGTTCAGTAACTGCTCCGCGAAGAAGTCAACAGCACGATGCGATTCGTCGAACCGGAACGGGGTCGAATCGTTGAAATGTCCGTGCAATGCCCCCGCTTTCCCAGACATTATCTCAACCATCATTCCAATTGTCATTCGACTTGGAAATCCGTTCGGGTTGAACAGAATATCTGGTACCATTCCGCTCTCAGAAAACGGCATATCCTCACTGGGCCAGGCGGCTGACATCGTACCCTTTTGGCCTGCCCTTGAAGCGAATTTGTCACCCACGCAAGGAGTTCTGGAAACTCTTATCCGCACATTCGCCTGCCGAATTCCAGGGCCCCGCGGGGTTCGCTTATGCTTGTACATATCCGGGTCAACTACTACTACCTCATCCACAGTTCCATCTTCCTGGTATTTGTACCTGGTCCATTGTGTCTTGTGATCCAATAGACCGCGAGAAAGGTGATCCTTTCCACAGATCCCATATAGTGGTGAACCTTTCTTCACTCTTGACCCTACTCGCGGCAGGCCATCCATATCAACGCTGTCCATTTCTTCAACTGCTTCAATAGGCAACGTGGCAAATGTTTTCTCTCTTCCATCGATACTCCTATCCAGGTCTATCTTTTCGTTCACATATACTGTCCCATGTGCAAATCCACGGTCAAGGCTTCCCTTGTTGATAACTAGTGCGTCTTCCATGTCATTTCCGCTATAGCTGATGACTGCAACAACTGCATTGACCCCATTTGGATATACGTCTGCTCCCATTGGATCTTGCATACAGAAATTCCGTGTGATTGGCACCTGGGGGGTAGTGTGTCTATATACTTTAGAATCATGACGACTCCAAGTCGTATGACACGGCGTACCCATGGTCTGCTTGGCCATCTGACATTGAAACATATTCCTCGGGCCTTGGTTCATATCAGGGAATGGGGATAAGGAGGCTAAAACACTGAGGAACGACACGGAAGACACCTCCGCATGTGTCGCTCCATCAGTTTGAATCGGACGCAAACTGCCTTCTTCTTCTTGGACCGAGGGGCGTACGCGGAGGAAGACTTGCTCAAGCGAACCAATCCACTCCGGAAAGCCAACTGGATCTTGTTCGCCGCCCAAATTGGTATTCCGCGGAGACTGAAGCCATTTCACAGGCCTCATTAACCTCCCACTAGTTGTGTGTACATAGATACCGGGTGCAAAACCCGCTTTAGCCTTGATGCGGCGCACGTAGACAACCTCTGACATGTTCGAAACAATCGGGACCATATCTCTAATCTTCGTGTATCTTATTTGTTCGGCGAGCTCTTCGGCGCTCTCTTCTCTAACATACCCGAAAACACGGCCGTCGACGACTACTGGCAGTGCGTCTTTGGGTGGTACGCTGTGAAGACTGGACAAAGCCGGTGCTGGGTAAAAGTTAAAATCCGAAAAGAGATGCAAAATGTCTCTCTTATCGGCTCCCATTCCTTGCGTGACTACAGCCTCCGCTGCTAAGTGATTAAGGATACCACAGGGGTCTCCATCTGGCGTGTGGACAGGGCAGATGAAACCCCAAGCTTCTGGGAGCAGTTTTCGAACCTTTGTAGATCGCATTAGGGCGTAGAACGCTCCGCGATGCACTGCTCGGAAGTGAGAAATAAAGCGGAGAAAGTTAATGCGCTCAGCAATGACACTGTAGCCAACAGCTTGTGGTAGGTCTAGCCCTGTGTCTGTCTTTATATTTCCAGTCGCCAACAGATAAGACATGTGGGTCGACAGCTGATCAGTTGCTACAGCTCGTTTTATCGCTTCCTTGATAAAGATCTTAAGCACTGGTCCACTTGTTTTCGTACTGCGCGATGCTCTTTTTCCGTTCACCTTGCGTTTATCCCTATCCGTGCCCTTGATCGCCTCCCTCCTTATGTACGAAGCAGCAATCCGAACCAAGGATTCAACTTTTTCTTTCAACAAGCTTAGGTAAAGTTGACCTGGAGGCATCAGAGACTGATGGGAAAGGGCATCAGCGTCGTCAACCTCAATATCCCCCGTCGATGTCGATACCAGTTTGCGCACCAGTAATACCATCAAATCGACCTTCGATCGGTCCAAGGCATCGTCAGGGTTCTCATAGCATCCCACGCTGAGGTGCACAAGAATAAATCTTCGAAGAAAAGCGACTCCGGCCTCATGATCAGAAACCAATTCGTCATTCAAGCCCATCACTGCTCGGAAGCTCTTTCCGAGGTACGCAGTGGCAGCCGACTTCGAGAGGGATGCCTTGACATTGGGCTCGGCGTCTCTGTGGCGAAACTCGTGGGAGCGTTCGCTTAATTCCTTGATGATAGCAATAGCAGCATTGCGAAGAGCGTTGTCGTCCCGTTCACCACCAACAATCAAATCATATATTTCTCTATCAGTGGTTCCGGTCGAAAGAATTGCTCTAAAAGCGACCCCAATGGGAATGAAATATTCACTCCGCGCAATCGTAACACGAATACGGACAGTGCCGCTTCTCAGCAGATGGAAGTGCAAGGTAAACGTGGACAGATCCCGTCGCATTGATCTGTAGCTCAGGGATAAGTCAGTAAAAAGAGGACCCCTCCCTGAATTCTTGTCTCGTCTTGCTGATACAGCATGGTTGGACCTGGGAACCACCACGAGACGCATCACCTTTTCGGAACCGTTGATCACAAAATAACCTCCAACCTCATATTCCTCCTCTCCTAGTGCCACCAGTTCACTCCTTGACTTTCCCTTCAAATGACAAGCCGTTGAGCCTACCATTATGGGTACACGCCCTATTCGCTGTATCGGGAGCTCAAAACTCTCTTCTTTGTCCAGCACAACTGTAAAGGCACCGAAAAGCTCACCCACATAACTGGAGGACGCTCTTCTACATTGAAATGGATACAAATGCATAGAAATTCCACTAGTTGTTCCGGAGCTTGTAGAGATTGATGGCTTCCGAACAGAAAGGCTGTGGGCACGAAGAGATATGTGTACTGATTTTCCGTTTTTGTCGGCTGGCCCACGCACAATAATTGGTTCAAGTTCTTGGGATAGATGCATCAGGCCAGAGCCAATAGCGAAGTCAAAAGAGTCCACATGAGGGGCGACACATCGACGCAAGAATGCGACTCGATCGTCATCTTTTTCCAACGGAAGTGTGGATGGCTGAATCTCAGCTTGGGCACTTTTGGCGAGACTGGCGAATTGAGACCCCGCTACGCTTTGGCTGGACCGCCTTCTTCTCTCAGTTTTCATTGCGGGGTTTGACTTGCGTGACGACGAAAGATATGAAGTGCACCGCTGATAGCGATTCTACCCACTCCGCCTTCGCCTTCGGCGACGACGTGATTCCTTCGGCCGAAAACTGCACACCATATTGCACGTGTACACGTTGGGATCAAAAAAACAGCAATGCATGGAAGATCAAAATACTGTGCAACATTGTGTACTGTACACGTACTAGTGAATGTTGACCCGTTTCCCTTCGGTACATGTGCTCGAGGGAAGAGGATCAAGGGTTCGTATCGTCGGAATCAACATGCAACGACCTGTCAAGGGCGGTCACATTCAGCAAGTTGTAGACTACAACTGATAAATCATGTAGGGGAATGGATAGCAGGTACTCACAGGTCCCACATTTCGGACCAAATCAGAGCTCTCGGTCCCATATGCCAGTATTGTTTCAATAGTCCCCACCTGTGCGGGAATTTTTAAAAAAATCTGCATGTGTTGAGACATGGCGACCAGGGCGGCGGCAGGGGACTGGAGGGGGGCGGCAAAGCGGTGGAACTGGAGAAGGGAGATGAGTGGAGTTTTAGCGACTGCTACTGTCTTCATGCTATCGCGAAGGCTTTAAAAAGCTCTTTCAAACCGACGGTATGTCTTTCCGCGTTCATATGAAATTGTCACACGTCAATGAATGTTGTGGGGTTCCGCCTGGGTATATTCGAGATTAATCTTCTGGGGCCAGAAACGTTTCTACCCTGCAAACGCATACAGAAAGCCGTGGATCCCTCATTGGAACACTAATTCAATAGAGCATATTTGCTCGTAAGACAATCCGTTTCTTCGTATCAACCCGGCGGGTTTCTGACATCGGATGTCCTGTTCCTTGATGACCGTGTCAGCGCAATAGCGGTTGATTCCAAGAACAACGTACAAATCCTAGCATCAATTCATCTCTGGAAGGAACTTGAAAGAGCAGTTTCAAAACGTCCTTTCTGAAACCAGTTGTGAGGAAGCACAGACTTTCGCTTCGTTTAGTTTCGGTTCGACAAAGCCACAAAAGAGCAGTCACACCCCGAAATCGACGAGAGGTTTCCTATCGCACATGCCGCCACCCCTCTTCATAGTGCAATATTGTAGTATGGTGCGACTTGCTGATTGCAGCGTCGAAAAAGCCAGAATGGAACCCCAACCGAGATTTCATGTCGATACCCTTGCTCGACTGGAAAGAGTGATTGTCGACTTCATGGGAGAAAATGGTGAAAGTGCGACCGCGCAAAAGTTAATAGTAACAAAAGGGAAAGGCTCTTATTTGTTTCACACCTGGCAGTTCGCATATGAGAAATGCACAAGATCAGAGATGAGCTCTTTACGCATTGCATACCTTGCTTCTGTAGCTCATTCAAACATAATTGAAGGTAAGCTTCTGACTAAACGCGACATCTACTACATGGCTCGGAATTTGTTTCCCAATCCTGCTGCAGTGGACAGGGCGCTCCATGCATTGTCAGTATCGGTAAAAGTGGCTAGAAATGACCTCAACATCGTCGCAGCTGCAAAGGGGCTTGTCGCCGGAAACATCGCTTTTGTTGACGAGGATGGTCATTCTGTCAATGTGGCCATGTTCGGCGCAGGCGGATGTCTTGTACCATGCCGACCGGAGAGAATGCGAGATATTAAGAGTGATGCATGTGCTGTCGTTGTGTGCGTTTGGCATATGTTACGGCATCGAGCAGATGCGAACAGGCACACTCAGATCTGCTAACCCGAACAATCGCGTTCTTGCACTCATTCGAATATATCTAGGCTTGAGAAAGAGACTTCTTTTCATTCCTTGCTACATGAACCGAAAGCTCAGCAACTTCTTCACACATGTATTTTTGTTACAGGGAAAGGTTCGTGACTCATATCCACAGTACAAGCTCTCCTTATTCTCCCTGTTCTCCCTGTTTTCAGCCCCCGAAGAACTAACACAACTGATGTCAACAGGCTACCCAGACCTCGCTTCGAAAATGTTTCTTTCCGCTGTCTCAAGCGTGCAACGAGAAAAAGGCCTTCTAATTCCTATTTTCATCCTGACTGATGCTGATCCACATGGAATCCACATTGCCTTTTGCTACATTCGCGATCTCCCAAATTGTAATGTTCGGTGGATTGGCGTGCGCCCGTCGGACAACGGTTCCTTAATTCAAATAAGAGAATCGGCCTTGCTGCCAGTAACTTCCGCTGAAATTACTCTTGCAGACGGTATGTTGCGGCACATAGCTTGCTGCGAGACGAAAGAAGCAGAGTCTTTCGCACCGTTAGCAGCCGAGCTCAATCTCCTCAAGGCGACGGGGAACAAATTTGAAATTGAAGCGTTGACATGTACAGGCCTTGGAGAAGATATGTCAGGACTTCTTCGATACCTGCTTAGCAGAACGTGATGGAAATCATCGAATATCGCATCCTTTGATGCTTGGTGGATAATCAGAATGCGTTCGCACTTGGGGGGCAAGTGCCCTGCACATTGTCGTCTTTGACTGTAGCATATGGTCAGCCCTAAGACTAAAGCGTAGCATAGTCGTCAGCACGGCTTCTCAATACTTCCGCAGTTTCCCGCAAATCGTCGTCTTCCACTCCGAGCGAGCGAGCCGCAGACTGAGCTCTACTGGAGCGGTTACCAGGGCACAGGGAGTCTCCCAGAGATGCAAGTCCTGGGCAGGCGTCGTCCTTGTTCGTTGCTAATCCAGCCACTACGGCAACTTGTTCTACTTCAGAAGGGCCTTGCGTCTTTTCCTTTGCAATGGCTTTCCCCGACGTGCTTCTGTTTCGTTCCAGAGAGGAATCAAAAATCTTTGGGTGTGGTACTGGTATGGTTACGGGCTGGACAATATTTGAGAATACTGGTAAGGGGTAACCGAGTCCACATGCAGCAACCACCTCATTAAAACTTGATCGACTTATCCCTGAAAACATCGAAGACTTTGGCATATGTCCAGCAGGACTCATGCTCCAGATACTCGAGAAATTTACTACTCCTCGTGTTCTAACCATTCCCAAGCCATACTCCAGATGCGTCATTGAATTCGGAAAGATACTCGCAAGACTTGCCACGGACGCAAACGGGGCCGGTCGTAAGGCGCTTAGCAGTCCAGCAAGCGATAAATTCTGTTGTATCGACATCAACGAAACATCCATCGCCAAGCCGAGAATGGACGAGGAATGGAAAAGATTTCCGACTGTAGCATATATTGACGATATCTGCGAAATTGGACATGAAGACAACGGAACATATTCTGCAGACAACTCTATGCAACTTCCAATGAGCTTTGCCTCATTCTGGGCCCACAAAGCCTCCCGCTTGTGGTAAAAATTCCTGTTGAAATAGGAGGCCGCTGAAGTTGTGCATACGCGGTTGATGTCGTGGACGCTGAAGACCAACAAAGGGGATGATGATCCAAGCTCATCTTGCAAGAACGACATGTACTCAGATGCGATGCCAGCGTAGGCGTCATCCGCATTTGTAGTTACGACTAGGCCTCCAAAGGAATCGCAATCTTCAATAAAGAATCGTAGATCGTCGTAGGCATCCTCAACGAACGAAGTTGTTGCAATATCCCTGCCGCCTTGGAAAGTCATTAAATTGGTTACGTTGTGGTGTACACCTGGCAACGGATGACATGAGCGTGGGTGAAGCCTGGTTTTCTGGAAATCCGACCAAAAGTCGGCGGTTTCGCTACCTCCCGCGAAGTCCTGACGTTCAGGACTCGAGTTCCTTTCTGCAGCCAGCAAGTTAGCCACGTAACCGCTGTGACGCACTTGCCGGCGAACATAGCGCTCAACACGGTGCGACCATGACGGCAAGGGTTGTGTTTCTCCCTCCTCGCGCCTGTCTAGCACAACTCCAGCGTCCGTGGATAGCGCTCCAAAAGACCCAGTCGCATCAATAATCTGTAAACGAGGTGCATAGCGAAGGCCTGAACGACCAGCTCGTGATTCTGCGCTAACCTCACGGAAAAATGTTGCAGGAGATAGTTCACGCTCGCCCGGCGGTACTGCCAGATACTCGTCTTGAAGATTCCAGAAGTGAGTGCCGACATAATTAGCCGTTGTCCCTATCTGAAGAGATGCGACATCCCTCCTCATGTCGATCCCACGCACGGCGCAGGGTTAGCGGAATTGCCAAAGCATGCCTTGCCCCTAGCGGTAAGCTGCGGTGCGGGCTGAGCTTGCGATTGCGTCAGAATCGTCTCTGCACTGGTGCCAAGACGACGGGATCAAAAACAAGGCAAGTGTTCATTGAATTCTGCTATAAATTAGTAGTATTTTGATGGCGGCGGCGGACCCACGATACGGAAAATTTATCTTTTAAGTATCGACCATTATAACAGCCCGTGACAGGTATTCTATTCCCCCCGGGCGTGGGAATTTGTCTCAGTCCCTATCAATGGGTCGCCCTACCTCATCCAAAACTTCATTGCAAGCTCCTTTGGCTCTGCACCAACTTCCAGGAGAGGTATTTTCTGTTGCAGACTTAGAGGGAGAGCACTGGTACGACTGCTTCCCAGAATGGCCATCCTCAGACAGTGGTGGTGTTCGCGGAAGCATCAAAGAATGGCGTGAAGTAGCAGGTGGAGCTCTGGCATCCTCATCGAGAGCGTATGAAAAGCGTGTCAATTCTGGTCGAAACACAATAGCGCGTGCCCTCTCGAAAGAGAAGACGATTGGTGACAAGATTGCTGCAATCACGTTACTCGTGCAGGAAAGTCCTCTCCATCGCCTTGATGAGCTTCACAAACTGCTCGAATTTGCGAAGAATAAGAATCGCCGGGAGAGCGTGCCCGCAATTGAGGCCGTGAAAGACTTGTTCCTTTTTAACTTACTTCCCGACGACCGACGATTAGTTCGATTTGAGGACAGGGAATTTGAATGCAAGAAACAGTCTATTTCGAAGAGACATCTTGCCTATGCCTTGTTTGAGGATGAATTGAAGACAGCCTACCGCGACTTCTTGAAGGTGCTCGAAGATAGCGGGAAGGATGCCCTTGCTCACTTCAAGCAGAAAGCTGTGAAACAGATATCTGAGTTGCTCGTCGGAAAACCGGAGCGCGAGAAAGAGCTTCTATCTATGCTTGTCAACAAGCTTGGTGACCCGGAAAGGAAGGTGTCCTCAACCGCTTCATTCAATTTATCCCAGCTCATTGACAAGCACCACCCGCAAATGCGACTGGTCGTCATCCGCGAAGTAGAGCAGCTTGTCACTCGTCCGAATGTTACGATGAAAACCCAGTACTTCGCTGTCAGCTTTCTCTGTCAAATTCGTTTATCGAACAGTGATGTAGAATTGGCGAGGAGATTGCTTCGAATTTACATGGACCTTTTCACCCTCTATTTGGCAAAGGAGAAATACTCATCCAAGCGAGACAAGGTGAAAACAGCGAAGATAAAGAAGAAACAAAAACGGAAAAGATTACGCGAGCTGCAAAATACTTCATCAAAGCCCAAACCTGACATCTCAGGTGCAGTGAAGGAGACCCGATTGATGGGGGCGCTTCTCATGGGTGCGAATAGGGCTTACCCCTTCTCCGAACCGGATCAAGATGATTCTTCTTACGAGGAACAATACGAGGCTCTCTTCTCCGTTGCCCATGCACAAGCGCTTGGCCCCGCAACACAGGCTCTTGCGTTTCTTTTTCAAGTATCTCAGAGTCATTCAACTTTAAGCGATCGGTTTTATAGGGCGCTGTATTCCAGAATACAGGACGCAGCAGATGCCGGGGAGCCCAAACAGGCCAAGTTTTTGAATCTGTTGCACAAAGCATTGGATGCAGACACAAACCCGAGGCGAATCAAGGCATTTGTGAAGAGGATGATTCAGGCCGCCGCAAATGGATCTCCAGCTTTTGCTGGGGCATGCGTCATAGTGCTATTTGAGTTCTACAAGCGCCATCGTGGAATTTTGACCTCGTTTATCTCTCTGTCTGAACATGACGACGCTGAGGAGACTTTCTTTGATGCAGACAAACCCCAGGTTATCAGCGCAAACCCTTCAGAGAACGTGAACGGTATGAAGAATGTCGGGGAGGCGGGAATTAGCGAAAGAGAAGCAACGAACCAACTATCTCTTGAACCGATTTCTTCGACAGGAGATGATGAAGTCTCAGTGGGAAAAGGGACATCACCGATGTCATCAAGATATGATATTCGAAAGCGAGAACCGCAATACGCTAGAGCAGAGAACACATCCTTGTGGGAATTAGTAGCTTTGTGCTCTCATTTCCACCCAAGCGTGTCCGTCTTCGCCAAGACTTTGTGTGTGAAGCTCCAAACCATGCATTATGGCGGAGATCCTTTGAAGGACTTTTCCTTGATTTCTTTTCTTGACAGATTTGTGTACAAAAAGCCTAAAAACCGAGTCGCAAAATCACTTTACGGGAAAAGATCTGCGCATTACCGGGCCGATCCTGTGGCAAATTCCGAAGCCTTTCAGGAACAAGTGAAGGAAGGCATCATCGGGGAAGACGATAAATTTTTCGCCCGATTCTTTGATGCCAACCCAAGTCGTGTGGTTAGGGAAGCAGTTACGACGGATGGCGTGAATGGAGCTTCAAGTAGAACAAACATAGTGGACGACTCGGAGGAGGAAGCCTTTGAGGAAGCCATGAAAGCGGAGATGGTGCGCTTGGGTTCGGACTCCGGTCTCACCTCGAGCGGAATTAAGAATCACCTGGCTGATGTGGATGACGAAGATCCAGATGAACTGAAAGCCTTCGAGAAGGCATTTGAGGACGACCTGATTCACTCAGCAGACGAGAACAACGAAAGTGGTGCTGATTCAGAAGAAATTGGAAACCCAGATCTGGAAGAAGACAGCGTTGTGCCTCTGCAAGCCTTCCGAGATTCAAATGAGGGGGTCGAAGATATTGAAATAGACGAGATTTCACGTGAAAGCCAGCAAGGCGAAGAGGAACAACCAAAGAAAAAGCGAAAAAAGAAACAGTCGGGTTTGAGAACTAAACAGAGCGCCTTTGCTGCTGCAGAAGATTATGCCGAAGATATTGATCGAGAGATAGGCGAACGTGCAATAGAACACATTGGGCCGTCGGCGGAGCTGGGCAAGCAGTCCAGACGGGAAGAAAGGAGCTTCCGGAAGCCGGGGAAGAAAAGACGTAGGTAGTGAAGGTGGAGTTGAGGAATGGCTAGGAGTCCAGCGTAGGATATGAGGACTGCGGGGTAAGTTTTCAGAATGAAGACCGGACATTTGCTTAAACAGGGCTGCGCAGAGGAGTGTGTTCTCATAAAGAAAAAATGCTACTGACTATGAAAATATCCGATGCAGATGTGAAGTACTCGTCAGGAATGATCGATGATTGCGACAAACGAATTTCAGTGAAACGAATTCTAGTGAAAAGTGGTTTAAGTGAAGGGCATCAAGCCGAAGGTGGGCCATATGGCAACGCCAAGCGTTTCCAGTTTGTCTGGGAGGGCGTCGGCTCAGCGGGGAAGGTACACGGGGAAACGTACATCATGCTGTATTACCCAGATATGCCGTTCGGTTAGCATGTCATGTGTCTTGGTAAGGCGACTTTCGCTGGTGCAGTTTCATGGTCTGAGTTTCTTCAGTGCCCTTGAGATATCAACACAGTTTGTGAGATGAACGCTTCTTGTGTGCAGCTTACCTGCATTATTCTCTAGCAACCCTCGGCAGTGACAGTAACGAAGTCTGGAGTGTAACGAAGTCTGGAGTTGGGACTTGAATCAGAGCACCATACCGCACGAATGAGATGTGTTATGGATGAGTGCTTCGTAGCTGCAAGCTCCCCTACTATCCGAAGTCCTGAATGACGATATCTTCCTATCGAGAATCTTCGATCAACATGTAGTCTCTCACCCCACTTCGCCCCTTGCCATAGTCACATACCCACCACAAACCTTCTGCAAGAACGCTGAGTAACCCTGCCGCTAACTTGTTTTCTGGCAAAGCAGCAGGCCAATCGACACGTCTCCCTCCGAAGGACTGAACAAGATCTCCAACACAACCAAGCGTCATACCCCACAATAATACATCAGGTACAATCACATCAGCAACAGCCACAGAATCATTCGCATATTGCAACACTTCAATAGCGGGCATGCGCATTCTCGAAAATCCGAGAACCTTCCATAGGTCATATATCCATCCATCTTGCGTAGGCATGGTTATAATATGTTCCTTCTTCACCTCCCGACCGTGTAGGACATCCAACGGAGTCCAGAAGGCCTTGGCGACCTCAGTGGGTTGCGGTGAAAGCTCAGGGTTTGCCGATGGCATCTGTAGAAAGACAAACGCGCAGAGGACACATGCTGACGATTTGTTGTCGCTACGGAATGGCCTGTCTGAAAGACGCCCGAGCACGCGATAGTTGCCTGGGACTGTCAAATCGATACCGACCTCCTCGTGAGTTTCACGAACTGCTGCGTGAAGGTCAGAATCGTCCTTCTGTTCTCGGTGACCGCCTGGAAAAGCAATATGAGCAGACCATGGGTCTGTGGGCCGGGCTGTGCGTTGAATGAACAGAAGTTCAAGGGAGGATAGCGCACAAGCTACGGGGACAACAGTGTTCTCGACTTGTCGCTGGCGCAATATTAGTGCGACCGAAGCTCGTCTTCCCAAGGAAAGGTGAAGCGGCGACTGTGGGAGAAGCGAGCGTAAACGGGAAAAGAGTACATCTGATTCCTCGTTATTTCGGGAAACCGAGGCGTTGAATGGTAGCGTGCCCTCATGTGGCATTGCAGATGGCAGAGGTCGACAGATTCGGTAGGGGCGGGGGTTCGGTTTCGCGGCGATAGAGCGTGCTGTGGAACTCTGCTGAAAGGACAAATGAACGTCGAGAGGGTTCTGATCGACTCTCACGGCTTGGCGACATGGGCCTTGGGAGGACGAGGTCAACGATGCGAGCTAATGAAGTAGATTCGTAACAACCAGCTGGTAACGAAGTGTTTGATACTCTACGGTATCTAGAGCCGGCCCCTATTTTTGTCGCATGAATGGATGAAATGGCAGCGTTTCGCTGGCTTACAGGGTTGAAGTAGATGTTAAAAAAACTGCGCACATGACCTGCATAAATTACAAGTACAGTAGGGATAGAAGTTGACATGGTATTGTACGACGTCATCTGGTAGTAATTGATTGGATGATCCTCATTTTCCAGGGATTATGATTGGGAGATGAGAGTACATACCTTGCTGGGTTTTTGTAGAAATGTTTTTTACGAAATGTGGACCTTTGCAAAGATTGCATTGTTGCCAGCAATGATGCATTCCGGGAGCCAATATTGCCATCTTGTCAACACACACACCTCGCAAACTGGAGTCCGGAGTTTCCACGTCACCGAGTCGAAAGCCTGCCGAAAACACCTGGAAGACCTTAATAAGGATCCTATGAAAGTATATAGTAGATGCAGTACATCCCTGGGTAAGACGACCAATTAGCTGAATCCCCTTGTCCACTTCCAACAATCTGACAGATCCGAACATGCAGACCAAAGATAGATCAACAATCTCCACGTTTAACTGTGAAAACTAGAGCTTACGCACTAATGCATTGATTTCATTCCCACTTCACTTCGTAACTTTCAAGACAAAACAGTCTTCAGCGATGGAAAGAATCGAGTTAATTGAAAGGGGGTGCAACTGTGTCAACCAATGAAGAAGTTGAAGCGATAGCAGCAGACATTAAGGATGTTAATGTTCGCATATAACGCTATCACTGGAGCAATCGATAGAGAGAATTAGCAATTGATCAGTTCCGTAAAAGTACTGTTCATCGGTGAAACGTTCGGTGGTATTTATGGCCGACGCTCAGTCGCGTTTGCATGAACCGAACTGATGGAGACTTACAGCTCGGATGCTCGATCAATGTGGACACGAGATTACACTTTCCACTATGTTTCTGTCAGTGCGGGCTTGTTCTGCGTTACCCTTGTCACTTCTTCGACCTTTCCTTTATCCTGTTTTGTCGCTATGTGCGCGTCATCAACTTTGACAATATGCACTTCATCTGGGGGATGATCCTTCTCCCCTTCCTCGAATGTATACGATACAGCAATGACCATCCTGTCTGAATTCCCGTCAAAACCAATACTTGCGACACTAGTGGGGTATCTCGGATATTGCGCAATTCTTTTCTTGGCCGCTCCATCCCAGAATGAGACATGCCCATCGCCGCCACCCGTCGCAAAAGAGCCATACTTACCGTTATGCGCAATAGTGTTCACCGGAAACGAAAGACCATCTGCTCGATGACACTTAAACGAAAATGGCTCCTCCTTTCCATCGAGCCACTCTACTGCCACACGACCCCCTGTACTCCCGACAACGTACTGACCTCCATCCGCGCGTGCGCTAAGACCACGAAGCTGATACTGGAGGGTCGGAGGTGTTTTGTCGTGCACAAATTTCTCCGGCTTCCTCCTATCCACGATACGCACACGTCGGGACGAAGTAGCCACCGCCACAGAGTCCTCCCCGCATCGACACATAGCATATACTTTTCCTTCGACGTCAACCTTCATAGCTTCTGCATTTTCCGTGCGTCCATCCCACAGTCTCACAGAAGAGTCCCAGGAGCCCGTGGCGAGGACATCCCCGAAGGACACGACGCATCTCGCGGCATCATCGTGTCTTCCCAGTTCCGTCCATGGCGCAAAGGCCGACTCCTTCGGGGAGGTGAGCAGTACGCGTCCGTCGACTGTAGCGGCGGCTAGGGCATCACCGGTAGCGCCTGCCCAAGTCGCGTCCAGCAAGGGGCGGGATGACTTAGGTGCTTCGGCTTTGAGCAAGCCGTTTGACGACGTGTACACAGAGAGCGTGCCAGCCCAAGTGGATACGAGAACGGAATCGCCAGAGTGGGAAAACGAGGCGCGCGAGACGGCATCTGGAGGTGCGGGGTCGAGAGCGATCAGAGGTGGGGCGGCCATCGTGATGGCTGATGAGCGGCTTGGAGGGCTACTCGAAAGAGTGCCCTTCGCGAGGGTGGTCTTCGCATTGGAGGTGGAGGTGATCACAGTCTGGCTATTTCGTAAGGGTGAGACTGGGAAAAACGTAAAAGTTGGTCTGGGTGAATTTTTTTGATATTTGGGACGCTCTTTATTGAAGGACGTGGCAGGGCTTTATTCACCTTTTCTATTGCTGTACCAGAGTATCCTGCAGATTTGAGATCAGCTAAACAAACAGTATCTTTGCATCTCCCTTAAAGCAAGTTGCCGTGCTTCGCAGCAGTTGTCTCGCATAACAAGGGGAAGACTGTTTCTTCATGAACAAGAATCAGTGTAGGGATCGCGGCATCTGCAAGGTTTGCTTTCGAAAGATATTCAATTTACACGCAGATCCCTTTTTGCGGATTTACGAGATGGACGATGCGTCTTTTCGTTGTAATAAACTGGCTACAGAACCATAGTATTGCTGTTTGAGAATGGCTGTCCTGGCAAACCAACGACAAGTGAGAACCGGCAGAACTGTTTTAGATGGAATTGAGAACGCCGGGCCAAATTCGAATTAGTCTCTTTTGAAAAGATCCTCGCGGTATGAATCGTAGTGGTGGATTGCAAGCGTGCAGCAATGGTCGAGACCAGTTTCCGTGGGGCTGCGGTTTAGCAAATTATCGGTAAATGCGTTTTGAAGATCAACCATGAGCTGTAGGGAGCAGCCCACTGGAGTGTCGGCAAATACTTGACGCAACCTGCAGCAGATCATACCGGTCACAGTGATTCCAGGAACTCTAATTCTACCGTCAAAGAGCAATCTCTGGTGGATCACACAATAACTTATGATACCTCGCCCAAATTTTAAATTTAATTGAACATCACGTTGCAACCGCTCCTTCTCTTCGTCTCTCCCTCTTACTGCACATTTCGCACTTTTCGACAAATACACGTAAGACTCGCTTTTGTATCCCTCCGCGACCCCGGAGGCCTGCCTGCAAACACTAACTGTCACCTTAGCGGCTTCTCCAGCCCCTCAACAACTGATATCGGAACTGCGCCACGGCTGGCAGCCACTACAATCTGTCTCACCGCTGCTGCAGTTCCTACCCTATTGCCGTACCCTCTCCCTTTGTCAAGCAGGAAGTCGCTCCCACTCTTGTATCCATCTCAACGTCACCCTTCTGCAGTCATGGTCTTCGGAAGCAATAACCACGAAAACCGTAACCACTCGAAGGCCAACAGGTCAGGCCGTGGCTACCAACCGGGAGACCCGTTCGCTCCTTTGCCTTCTGCGACTGGCGATCCGTTTGCCGCCCCATCCCGCACTGACCCCTTTTCCATCCCCCCCTCAGAGAATCGCTTTTCGGGTGCTTCCACAGCTCCAGATCCTTTTTCGCGTCCCTTGACTGCAGACCCTTTCCTCGCCCCCCCACCGTCGCATCCCGCAAGCCGCCCTGGCCGTTCCGACAGGCCCTCTAACTTCGCATTTGGTCAACCCCACCCCGGCTTCTCTGCAGCCGGAAGACCAAGCGCCTTCGCGAGCACGAGCAATCAAAATGCTTCAGATTTTGGACTGCAGCATACCGGCACCGCTTTCGGCACCCAGGCTGGCCCTTCGTCGGAACTTGCCGACCCATTTGCTCCCCGTGGGCCGGTCAATCAAGGACGAAACCGAAACGGCCCTGCTCCAATTGCGACCTCATCAGGATCTAGGGATGGGCAGGTCCCCTTTGGGCATCGAACGCAACGTCCTTCAGCAGGATTCCCGCATGGTCCGAATGGGCGCCGTTTGTCCTCCAAGCTCATGCTCCCGCGCGTTCCTCAACGGATGTTTAGTCGAGAGGCAGTCCTTGACCACTTCAAGAAGTACCCCGACGTCTATCCGATTGAAGTGTCGCTCCGCGGTTCTAACACGGCACGAGATGGAAAGCGTACCGCTGTTATCTCGTTCAGGACTCCGCAAGAAGCCACCACCGCCATGCAGCATATTCGTCAGGACCACGACAATTCATTGCAGGTGCTGTATTTCAAGGAGGGGCCCATGCCTGGGACAAATCCACAAACCTCCATGGATCAAGACTACCCCGAACCGCATTACGAGCCGCGGCCTCATCAGTCAACAGCCATGTCGAATGAGCTGCTATTTTCCTTTGTTCCGAAAGAGCTATTCACTGAGGAGGCCATCCGTAACCTCTTTGATAATATCTCGGATAGAAGGGTGGTCTCCGTCAGTACAAAAGCGCGCACGATGCACAGTGGCGCGCAGAAACGTACCGCGATCATTGCTTTCACGGATGTTAGTGCAGCGAAGGCAGCACTTGACGGACTGCCCTTGTTCAAAGGCGAGCCTTTGCAAGTGAAATATCGAAACCGTCCTCCTCACTTGCAGAAGACGAGTAACCGCAACAGCGATGACAACGGTCATACGCGGCCTCAAGATGCAGCTCCCTTTGGCCGGACAACCCCAGACGATCCCATTGCTCGCATGGAAAACTCCGTGCAGGAACACCCACAGAGTGTCGCTCACACAATGTTTGCGGGGGGAAACCAACAAGACCTAAATACAAAGTTCACTCCGGGGCCGCCTGGTCCACGTACTTTGGGCCCTGGCCCGGGTTTTCAAACCCAGAACGTTCTTGCGCACGACATGCAAACTATGACGAATACGAGAGTGAGCTGGGAGCAAGAGAAGGCGCAACTGCAAAGAAGCATCGCCGAAAAGGAGCGGGAAGTCGCTCGTTTAAGGCGTAACGGTCGTGGCAAGTCGAAAAAACCTGAAGTGGGAGTCAACAACAATAAGCCGAACCACTCAGGGGAACAATCTAGACAAATGTCAGGGGAAAGACTTGGAGTCCAGGCACAATCTTCAAAGCGGGTCGTGAGAGAAGATACCAACAATGGCAGTGCGTGGAGGAATGTTGGTGCAAAGCTGAGTCTGGCAGACGCGACGCAATTCGTTGGTACATGCCAAACGATGTGTCCGGAGAAAGAAATTTCCGAAAGGATTCTGCAGCGAGACATCTCATTCTTCGAGACACAAGGGGGTCAACCGGATGCGGCAATGGCGGTGAAAAAGTATCGCCGGTCCGCGGCCATCAGTGAGAACCCGCAGCCGGAGGAAGTTCGACCACCCGCCGTGCTCGTCCGCACCATGGAGTATCTAAAACAAATTTGCGACAACACTGAGCGCTCTTTTGTCGATGTTCACAATTTTGTTTGGGATAGAACTCGGTCTCTGCGGCAGGACTTCACATTTCAAGGTGTGATGGATGAGCAATGCATTAAGGTGAACGAAGAAAGTGTTCGCTTCCATATCATGTCAGAACACCGCCTCACTGGCACCGACCCAGACAAGTTTTCGTCGAAGCAAAACAGAGAGCAGCTGGACAAGTGCTTTATCTCACTTCGGGAGATGTACGATCTGAGGCGAGAGAAGGGCCTTCCCACAGCTCCCAACGAGGCGGAGATGCAAGCGTACTACATACTAACGCAGATGTCAAACGCCCAAACTTGTGTCCAGCTGTGTACGGGGTTTGAGAGGAAAATTCGGAACAGTGTGCCGGTTCAGTTTGCTCTGCATATAGTGAAATCGGCATCATCGTCAATTGGGAACTATTATGCTTACTTTGCGTGTGTAAGGGCTGCCCCATACTTAATGTCCTGCTTGTTGCAAACGCAGTTTACACGAATCCGGTGCCACGCTTTATCGGTGCTCAATTCTACACATGGAAACGCATCCAGTTCAGATACTATAGCAGTTTCAGATCTGACATCACAACTTGGCTTTGATGGGCACGAGGACACAGTCGAATTCTGCTCGATTCTTGGGCTGAATCCTGCGCATGGATTAGGAAACGCTCATGTTGAGGCGATTCAATTGCCATCCCAGAGTTTTAGCGAGGCCAATGCGTATAAGTGGAAACGGAGGCCATCCAAACTCGTAGAGAGCAAGTCCGCTGGTCTGACTTGCTCTGATATTATCGCAGGGTCAGGTGCACAGGATTATGACCTCTCGAAATTACCATGTGTCACTTCAGCAAGTTTGCGTTCTAAGAAACCTGTTAGCTTTCCAGGAGCTGGCTCTACGGGGCCCATACCTGTGCCTGCACAGCTGCGTTCTTTGCACGATCGTCAAGAGGTGCCTGAAGTGAGCCTTGTTTCAACTCCGACGACCGCACCTAAGAAGCCATCGATTCTTGATCGGTTAAGCGGCCGAATGCCAGGACGACTCTCCTCCGATGCACCATTCTCCGGTCGACCATTGAGTGCCCCTCGCGAGGCCGCCAGTGTCCAGAAAGAAACCCCACCAGTGCCACCATTATTAGCTGAAAGACCGCACCTGCCCCAACCTGACGCGGGTCACGAAGCGGTCAAAAATGCGATTACTCCAGTAGTACCAAAAGGTGAACGTCCTCAGGGAGCTTCCATATTTTCGGATGGGACATACTGCACCCCCCATGATTCTTCAAAGCGAAAGAGAGTACGATTTAATTTAGAAGGTGTCAATCAGAGCAACCCAACCTCGGTGCAAGAGGAAGCAGAAACACAGCTTGAAAGACTGAAAAGGCAAAGACCAGAAACCACACAGATTACTCCTGTTAGCGGAGGCCTGCAAGAACCTAGCCAGCTGCAACCAACTGCGAATGGCATTATTAGGGATACACGTTCCGAAATCGCGCATGGCAGAGATGCACCGGCACCTGCTCAGATCAATCATCAGGCGGAAGCGGAGGCGAAGGCTAGATCAGAGAAAATCCAGCACGAGCAAGCGAAGGCTGCTGAAGAGCTCAAACACAAGGAAATGTTTGAAAGAGCCATTGTCCGGAGAAAAGAGGAATTAGAACAAGCTCGCAAGGAGCTTGAGCGGGAAACTGAACGTGCTGAGGCCTTTGCTGATTTTGAAAGAACCGTATCGACGTGTGTAGACACTGCGCAAACATTGAAAGCTCAGTTGGTCAGAATTCAAAAGTCTTTTGAGGGGTTTTCAAGATTTGATGGACTGCCTTCGGGCCGTTGGGAACGATGCAGGGAAACAAATGGGCAACTTGAAGAGATTGCTGAAGACCTGTATCGTTGTCACGGAGAAGTGCACAAAGTGAAACCATTAACCGCATTGGGTGAAGAGGCGAAGCGAGCCCTTCTGGAAGACCTTTCTGCTTTGGACAGCCTCGGCAAAGACGTCTGGAAACTGGTTTGGAAAGCAGAAGCAACTTGTTTGCATGCTCGAGAGCGGATTGGTGGCTCGCGTTTAGATAGTTGCAACTAATGCCCTTGTAAGAGAAACTTTTTTAACGACATGTCTTGTTGCGAGAGACAGTCTTGCGAGGGCCAGTGGGGGTGAGGAGAAAATGTGTTCCAGTCGGAATGTCAGGCCTGAAAGATAAATCGCTGGACAGGCACCTCTGTCAATTGGTTTATTGCGAAACATAAGGACTCAATAAGGAAGATGGAATCTCATGCCGTTCGCTACGACGGTGCTGTTCCTCCTGACGGTAAATATTCTGAAGCGGCGCACTGCATCACATCAAGGTCTGCAACTTTTGTCGTTTTGGCTGCTGATTTTTCGGATTGTGGTTAGCAGGAACGTCTTCCGTGTCGAGAATCACACGTGCTTCACTGAACTTGTACAAAACCTGCTAGAAGCACAAATTTTTGGCCTGATGGGCATTTAACTATGACTAAACTAACTAAAAACTATGAATAATGCAAGGCATTTTGAAATTGCCGGAGGTAGGGGAATCACATTATTGAAGAGGGGCTGGATCAGCGCAACGTTAGGCCCATCGAGAGAAAGACGCCCAGTTAACGCTTATTAGGAGTGAAGACTGCATGGCAGTTCCTTCTCATTGTTTGATGCTTCTCTCACATGTGCAGCCTTATTGGTCACGCTCCTGGTTCATGCAAAGAATGCCGGTCCAGGGCAAAGGATTCGATCGACCATATGTTGAAGATGTATAGCACGGGACAGTTGTCGTGTCTTAACGAAAATTTTGCGGTAACGAATGGTATGCGAATGCCCAGTACAGTGCTTCAGTAATTGGGCTCCTCTTAAACGCGAGGAGGGCAAGGACAGGTCTGTAATGGAAACAGCCGTACGTGTAACTGCGAGTACAATGCATCAGTTCGCAATTGTATAGGGTCTGCAGTAGGGTTTCATGAGCTTTTTGACACGGGAATCGGAAAGAGAACTCGAGTTTATTTATATACCGTACAAGTACAGTACTGTAGTACGGCAGCACGCACCCAGTAATTTACGCCACATGGTGAGCATGTGGTGGTCCCACCACAGTAAAGTCAAGAGACACAGTAAAGTCTTCCTGGGAAGAAGAAGTCTCTTGACACAGTAAAGTCAAGAGACACAGTAAAGTCTTCCTGGGAAGAAGTCTCTTGACTTTACTGTGGCACACATGTCGAAGCTGTACAGTAGAGGCTCGTGAGAAGCGAGGAAAGAAAAGGTTTACACAACGCTGCATGTCCGGCAACAAGTGCGGCGAGGACACCGTCGGGTAAAACGCTGCCTGTACAGAATGGAGGACCTGTAAAGGTATATTTTGATACCATACTGGACGGACTCCTGTGCCACAGGGTGTGCACTCCCAATCCGTCGGACGCTATGTATGGTCCGTGAGCACAGGTAACATTCAGCGGGTGACGTAGAATTAGCCGAGACATGATGACACGCGACCGACTTGACACGTTTCGACCAAACCCAATGACGTACAGCACCAAGGGTACATCATACAATACAACACTGAATACGCTGTGCAGTGCACTGTATGGCGCTGTACAGTAACTGGGGCTCAAGACCAACTGGTAGAGCTCTTGCGACGGGTTGACTCCACGTAGCAGCCGCCCCACCCACGCACCTGTTCGTCAACGTCATGAAATCAAAACCTCCCTCCTCCTCGCTCATCCCTGCTCGATTTACTTTCCAGGCCGTTGACCTCAAAAGCGTGGAGCAGATGGATCGACTCTTCGATCGCGGGCACATGTAGAATTGGTCTGCACATAGTCGTGCGGCATTTTATACCTACAGTACCCTTGGTAGTGTTCAAGGCGATACCCTGGTAGAGCAGGCCAGAGGACAAGGACAAGGCTAGCTTCGCTGCCCGACCACGTACGTCGGCGAGGCACCGATCTCCAGTACCATTGGTGTCAACCTATGCTTGTGCCAGCATCCTGTGCGAGGCACCGATCTCCCGTACCATTGGTGTCAACCTATGCTTGTGCCAGCATCCTGTACGTGCCGGACAATGACACCTGCGCGCATTGCGGCATGTGGTTGCCATACGTTCTGCCACGATCTGTGTGCATGATTGCATCTGAAGTTTCACAGAATCGGACCACCCTCTTTACAGCTGCACGATACGGATTAACAGACTTCTTGTTTTAAAACACATCGGCATACAACGCAGCCTACCTGGTAAAAGAGCCCACAGGTTGCCCCACCACTCATCATCACACCAGCACCATCCTAGGACACTAGCGCGTAGTCAAGTGTTCTTCCGGCTGCTTAGCTCACCATCATGCATCGCCTCACCAACATTCTGTGCCTTTGCTTGGCCATTTTCTTCAACTCAGATGCGGCCCCGATAACTCTGCAACTTCCGCTTTCCACCTTCCAATGGACATCTAACCTCCCCGTCAAAACCCTTTCTGTTCGTCGACCTCGTATGTCAGAAAGGGTTCCGAACCTTATCACGCACGAAAGGCAGAGAGCGAACCAAACATCTGGAGGCCTAACCCTTGATCCATGCGGAGGCGCGGCGTCGTGCCAGGCTGGGCGGACTTGTTCACCCTTTTCGGGCCCCGCGGGCCAGCCGTGTGAGGTCGATGGACGCTGCGTTTGCCTACCTCCCATTCCGGAGCAATGCGAAACGTCTTCGGAGTGTGTGGATGGGGAAGTGTGCGCGAGGGTGTTTGCCAACCCAGAGCCAATCTGCGCATCTGCCGCCATTGCAGAAAATCAAGTCTTTGCTGAAGAAGTTTCCCCATCCAGACCTATTGGCAATCCGACGGGAGGACTTAGTGTGGATTATTGCAGCACAGACGGAGATTGCCAGGGGGATAGAACGTGCTTATTTTCAGGGCTTGTCAGCAGTTTCGATCCCTGTCGTGGAAGGGAACCTTGCATCTGTTTGGCAGAGAACTCAGCCTGCTTCAATGCATCTGAATGTGATGAGGGAGAGATCTGCGCTGAAACACCTATCGAACCTATTGCTGGATGCATTTCGAAGGAGGCCAGCACCAACGCCCCTGGTGTTCAAGAAATATCAGACGGCCCACTGTCCACGGGGTTAACTCTAGACTCATGTGAAACGAACGCCGGATGCGAAGGTGGTCGTCAATGCGCCTTTTTCAATCTTCCGAATGTCGATGTATGCGACGGAAACCAACCCTGCGTGTGTCTGCCACCGGAGGACCCAGCTTGCGTCAATTCAACAGAGTGCGACGAAGGCGAAGTGTGCGCAGACACTAGTATCGTCAGTGGCAGAATATGCTTGTCAAAAGCAATGGCCGACAGATTCGACTCTATTGTGGAATTCGGGCCTGCTGGTTCTCCGAGTGAACCGGATGCGGCCTTGACGCCACTACCCGAAGACGCTGATGAGACGGTACCCGAAAGTCCCACCGGGGATCAGGATGATTCTGGTCCCTCAGCTCCGGGTGTTCAGGAGGGCCCTAATTCGCCGCGTGAACCACCTTCCGCTGGAGGGAGCTCAGAATCTCCGGAGGAATCAGGAGTAGTTGCTGAACCCAGTGCCGACGAGATTGGCACAGGTGGAGCCAAACCCAAGCCTAGTACTGCCGGTGGCGCTGAGGTGACTCCTGAAGGCGTATCTCCATCAGAATCTTTTGAGACGCCTTCAGAGCAAGGAGCGCCCGGAGATGGGGAGAATCTGAAAGCCTCTGCCGAAGAAGGAGCACCTGGAAACGCGGATGAAACTGGGGCCACCCCCGGATCAAGCAAACCAGGAAATGGAGGTGCGGTTGAGCCCTCCTCTGCACCATCACCTGAGGACGTGAATGTGAGGCCAGACCTTGAAAATCCCGACGATTCTTCCACGGAGACTGTCGAAGACACACTCCTCCCGTCCCCTGAGAATGGCGCGAGTGCGCCAGTACCAGGGGCTCCCCGCCCCAATCGGCCAGGTAGTGGGAATCGACCTGGTAGTGGAAATGGAGGCCCTGGTTCGGACGACCGCCCTCGACCTGGCAGGCCTTCTCGCCCTGGTAGACCGACGCCGAACACACCTTCCTCTTCGGACCGCCCTCGACCGGGCAGGCCTTCCCGTCCTGGTAGGCCGACGCCGAACACGCCTTCCTCTTCGGACGACAGCGAATCTGGGACTGGTGATACGGCTGGGCCACCAGTCGATGAGGAGGATACCGTACCAGGCGATGGCTCAGGAGATCCTACAGATGGCACCAACCCTTCTGATGAATCAGGGGAGAACGCTGGAGCCAATGACTCTCAAGAATCATCGGAATCCGCCGTTGGTGATGGAGTGTCTGGACCGACAAGCTCAGAAGACCCAGTTGATGACGATTCTGTAGGACCAGATGCCGACCAGGATTCAAGTGTTCTACCGCCCGGCGACGAAATTCCTAGCGGTACCGATGATGCCGAATCTAGCAGCCCGCCCTTCGGCGAAGAAACGGAAACGGTAGGGAGCGAGTTTACACCTGCGCCAGGGTTCCCACAAGTGTCGAGTGAGGGAAACGAGGAGGATGACGTTTGCATTGACTCTGAAGCTCTGAGGCACTTGGGACAGAGGGAGTTGGTCTTCCTCAAGCACAGATGGGCTAGAGTTGTATGCGATGCGTCCGGGAGCTGCGCGACGCGGGGACATATGGTGATGTATGAAGGGGAGACGATGATGATGGGGACATATTGCGAGAAGGTCGGATGCGAGAAGCGGACGATGCTCGTGAACAGCCCGAAGTTTAAGAAGGGGATGAGGGTGAACTCGAAGACGAGTGGGTTGGAGTTCTTGGCGTTGGCGGCTAGGTACGGGACGAAGGCGGAGGAAAATATGATTTCTTTCGCAGTCAAACTCGGTCTTTAAACGGAGGTGGCTGGTAGCATCGTTAGATTGGATGTACTTGCCAAATTGAGTGAGTTGTAAAAAGGAAACTGCGGAGACGTGCTAATCGATGGTGACTACTGTGTAACGGAAGTAATGGCGCAGGGGCATGCGACTGCAGGCAATCGCTCTAAAAACAATGGTGAGTTGTAACATGAAATGCCTGCCGTGCACGTGGGCAGGCGAAGTGAGAGAAGGATATTTAGAGGTTCGGTGCGAATTACGACGGCAGGTACGGCGCGAATTGCGGGTTCAGTGGGGAAACGTCTACACTACAGGAGCCGTCGTCTACACGAGGAGTTGTGCGTCACCTGCACATCGCCCTGAGACCCGTTCAGACCCGTTCCAGAGTCTGGGAAGATTGCCCTGAGGGCCGTAACACTACCGGTTAGAGGGCAAATTCAAACGTGTTGTGCAGTGATTGGATCTTTCGGCAGCCGTGACGGTTATCCAGTACGAGGGATGGTAGAGGTGGTGCTGTACGGATATACTGTGGGGGACGTCTCCGGTTCCCATCTCCTCAAGCCCCACATGACACCATCATGCCCTGGAGGAAGGGCGGGGAGGAGAGGAGGAGGAAAGGGAGAAGGGAAGGCGTCAGGAAGAATGCAGGAGGATGGCAGTGGCCGGTAAATTCAGCTTGGGATGGGGGTGTTGGGGGTGTTCCCTGTGCACAGAAAACAGTGTGTTCCCTGTGCACAGAGAACATTGCTCCTCGCGCCAAGTCAATAGAATTGGCGTGGGTTTTTGGTAATTTTTCCAAGTGGCGCAATTCTACTCGCATCTCTATTTGCGCAAATGAGTAAATCTGTCTCCATCCGGTCGGCTGCTTGGAGATAGATTTACTCAAAATGGTAAATTTTTTAGAGATACTCACTCCACTAGTGTTTAGACGACCGGCAATTTGCCTCATATGAGGTCAGGCTTGGCCTCATATGAGGCCGGGTTTTTTTTTGCAAAAAAGTATACATTAAATCGAAATTTTATAAAATCAGTTTAGACACCATTTCTTTAACCAATATTCCCTCGGCAATAGCTTCCTGCAAAACATCGGGATAGCAGTTATGAATACACAGAAATACTAAGAATCTAATATAGTTTCAACAATCGGAAGATATTTTAAACAGGCGTTTTGGTTTCGAAGATATCAACAAAAAACGTTTTGATGTTCTTTAAAAAAGCTTCTTCTTTAGGTATTCTCAAAAAGCCTGGAAAGGACGTGCAGACCTCACCAAGCTCCACCCTTCCACAGCGCAGAAGTCAACTGCGGTCGCAAGAGTATCTTTTTCCATTTTGTTCAGCTAGCACAAGTCGAGAAAAATTAAGTTGAAAAGTGACCTCATATAAGGCCATTTGTCACCTAGACACTAGAGCTGCTCGTGACCAAATCTATCTCCAAAATTCAAAAATTTACTCATTTACTCTACCACTAGTATAATGGTGACGGGGTAGGAATGCACTCTCACATTCTTGACAATAGATGTCTAGAATATAGTGCTCGCTTGGTTCCGTTTAGTCTTTTATTTGGGTTTATTTTCAGGTGATTCAATCAACTTCTACTACTTTCCAGCTCCTAATAAAGTGAGCTCGTCCCTGGCTTGCGACCGCCGCTTGCTCACCGACGACTCTTTTTGCAGAAACCTCTTCTCTTTTTGCGCACTCTCCGGCGACGGACAGCGCCAAAGGAAGAAACAGGCCGGTCGAAGGCCTGTAGCGAACAGAATCTCACATTGTACGACACTAATTAGTAAGTACTGTGTTTACTACCAACCTCCCGCCCTACACCGCTCCGCCTTCCTCTCTCGGCACCGCTCCGCCTCTCTCGCTCGGCATCGCCCCGCCTCTCTCTCTCCCGGAACTGCCGCCGCCTCTTTCGCTCGGCACCGCTCCTCTTGTCGCTCGGCAACGCCCCTCCTCCCGCTCGGGGCTGCCTCGTCTTCTGTGCTCTGCTCCGGTCCGCATTTCCGGCCCAGCACCGCCATGCCTTCCGGGCTCGATACTGCCCTGCCTTCCGGGCTCGATACCGCACTGCCTTTCGGGCTCGATACCGCTCCGCCTCTCGACGCAGCACAACTCTGCCTCGCTGCACACCATCGCTCCCAACTAGCCCAACACTGGAGCCTCGCACATTCAAACATTCTAATTGTGCATCTACTGTCATCACACCTCACTCCTTATTCCCGAACTGCAGTTGCCGTGACACTCGTCAGAGCACACACCCGCCCAAAGGCTGTCGGTCACTCAAACACTTCTAAAACTCGTCGTGATTCCTGCTCAAGTTTATTGATAATTCTCATTGGATCTGGTGCTACGGCTCGCCGAAATATTCGTCTTGCGTGATCTCGCAAAAGGCGAGCAGGGACCTAGCAAGTCTCGCGTGGCTGGTGTATTGGCACCTGGCGTTGGAACAGTTAATGCCCTGGGCACCCAGTTGTACTGTTATGCAGGATACTCTCGAATAGCAATCTTTGTTCACGCATTGACTGTGCTAGACAACGACGTTACAGGGAATAGTGACCGAACGGTTAAAACCCCGCGCCCGGTATAGTGTCCTCTTCGGAGTAGGCTGCACTCGAATCTGAAATCCGACTAATCGCTGCATTGCGTGGGTACGTTGGTGGCTTAAGCAAAAGTAGCCCAATCCTGGAGATCGGTCGTCAATTTATCAAGACTAACAGGAACACTACGTCGGTTGCTCGGTAAGGGGATTAGATTGACATTACTGTTGGTTGTCTGTGGCTGCTTGGAACGTCAAGGTGAACACTTCTATAGGGTAAGGACCGGCCTTGGTTATCAACTGATAAACTCGGTGGATATCCCGAACGAAGTTATAGCCAGCAAACGCAGGGCCTGTGTTTGTTTAGACTGCTGAAACGGCCACCTCTCCGGAGTGGGGCGGACTCCGCGCCGAGGGTCGTATACCCTAAAGGCCTTTGCCAGTAGGTTGGACTGGCGGCCTAGGGTCGGAGTACCCTTCAAGTTTTCAAGAACCAGACTCAAGAATTTTACAGCTGATTAGTACTGATGCACACTTTCTCCATAGTTTGCCCTCGCCTGAACTGAAATCTGTAGTATAACCCCCCCTGGGGCTTTATTTTAGATTAGATCAACTCAGAATCGGATCGGTTACTGTAGGGCTCGATGCTCTACAGTACCACTACGTGTACCCCCGAGTACAGGGGGCGCACGTGTACACGTGTACGCGCGGGACCGAAGAGCGCGCACACACACGTGTACTGTCAGCCCCGATGGCTGACAGCATTACAGTGTCGACCGACCGCTACAGTACGTCGCTACAGTACATCGGTACTGTACTATTATGACAGGTTATTATGTACATTAAATATGGAGCGGACCGGCGGCGGTGGAGGAGGAAAAGGACGGACTTGTCACCCACCGACCGTCAAGGTCCGACTTCCCGCTTATTCTAAGGTAACGCTCGCTAATTACCTTAGAAGCGGCACCGAGCGCGGGTTGAGGACGCGCGCGGTACGCCCACGAGCCGGCTCCGCCTCCGCCCGTCGGTACTGGATCGTTACCCAGTACCGCGCCGGGGCGTCGAGGCGTCGAACCGCTCGCGCGTACCGGCGTCCTCCCCGTTCCCGCTCTACCACGCTACCCGGGCCCGCTGCCCGGTGCCGTTAGCTGGTGTCCTGCTTCACCCCCGTCTTCCCGATCGACAAGGGTCTCGGTCGAACTGCGCATACACCCCTATCGCTGGGGGTGTTTATGCTACAGTGGTCTCCCGACCTAGAAGACCCTGGAGTCCGATCTCCGAGAAGACTTCCGCTTCCCTCAGCGAACCGATCGCGTTGAGATGAGCCAAGAGTTTGAGCCCTCGATCCGCTCCGAAGCGGCGGATCTGAGTCCGGCCGCTGTGCAGTCCCCATCCGCCCCGTCGGGTGACGGCGACGCAGGTCCTCGTGACCGCGAACCGTCGCTCGGATCCTCCGAGGAAAGAGCGGCGGCGATGTTCGAACGCATAGCCGAATACATCGAGGAAGTCCGTACTTCCCTTCGGATCGATGTATCGGACCATGTATACACTCGATGTATGGCCGAACTCTGCTCCCTGCGTGAAGGGAGGTTCGATAGAGTGACGCAGTCCTTAGAGAATCTCCGAGCACTGATCGACGAGTTACACTCGCGGATAGTGCTCGTCGAAGACTCCCGTTTCGCCTCGCCCGGACCGTCCGGGCAAGGTCGCCCTGAGAGGGCGACCTCGGTGAGACGACCCGAGGACCGAACCTCTCCGACCGCAGAGCAATTGGGTGCGTTCGCGCACCTCTCCGCTGAGCTCAACGCCACTCGTCGGCGTGCTCGTGACATGGAACGTACCATGGCCGAAGGGCTACCCGGTGCCCCCTCGAGAGGGCCCGGCGGTACCGTACCTCCGAGCGCCGCCGCCCCCGAAGGTTGGCGTCCGACTGGTGCCGCTACCAGTCGGACTGCAGAAGGAAGCCGTCCTCCGATGGGCGCGAACTTCGCGTCTGAGACCCAAGCCTTGCCTCCTATCGCCGGAAGTAGGCGGCAAGTGGACCGCGTATCGTACGCGGACGAACAGGACCGTGGAGGAGCCGCCCGCGGATCCGGAGAACCAGTGTTCTCCGTCGATCCCCGATGGGGCGGCTACCCGCCGGCGAGTTACGCCGAGCATCCAGGTCCGGTAGACGTCCGTACGCTACCGATTACCTCCTTCGGCACCCTGGGTCCCGCTGAACCCGGGCTCGAGCCGGTACATACGATGATCCAAGAGTTCAGCGCCGTTGCTGACTATCGTATGTACCGCTTGGATAACACCTCGAGGCTCGTTACCTCGGGTGACGCGGGACGGATTGCGAAGTACGTCCAACGCTGTCGTGGGATCCGTCCCACGATGCGCAGCTTCGACGGTACCGACCCGATCCAGCTGCTGCCGTTCTTGAAGGATATACGAATCACCTTCAACTCGCAACACCTGACCGAAGGTGTTGCGGTACGAGTCCTCGCGCACTTCCTCGAGCGCGACGCGGAGCGCCTGTATACGAGTTATACGATGCGTGGCCTCCGCGCCGGCCAGCTCCACGA